TTTTTGAAAAACAGTTTCTTCATCATCAAAGGATTCTTTTAGGGCCGGGCATACTTCACGCAGTTTCAGTCGCAACGCGATTTGGCAATTCGCCAAAAGTCTTCAGATCACACTAGCAAATACATGCACAGTGTGTATAACTTACGTGAATTGATGAAATGTATCTTCTGTACATTTAAAATATGCTTACAGTGAGTTATGAACAAATCGCGTCGCAAGTCGCGAAATCGCGTGCCGGCACCAATGTGCAAACCATAATGCGGTTTATTTTGCTGCAATAAATAATGCCTTATTAACCAGTGATCATAATATAATAATCGAAATATCAGCACTCTGCAAAAGAGTCCAAAAAAATCCAATAAACCGAAACTTGAAGGCAACGAACTCCACGTCATAATTCTTCAAAGAAAAAGATAAGCGGCTTTTCTGAGTGCTGCTGGAATTCTATGCCTGGAGCCACTTCAGCGCCAGAACATCCACTTTGACGTAAGTGCCCTTTCATGTTTTTTTTTCTACACCAATTATTCGAAACGCTACTTTGCATGTTGCAAAGCAGCATTTGAGATTTTTTTTTGGAAAGTGGATCCGGAACTCATAGTTGAGGGTTTTTGTGAAGATTTGGAGGAGGAAGTGTGGAACTAACAGCACTAGTTATTCCGTTATTCCTACAGAAAAGTGTTCGAAGAGTCATTTTTTAGATTTGCACAATTTTGGCAAACTTGGGTCATTGAAGTGTAAAAGGCCGTCGATTCAAAAAAAAAAACGAGACAAAAAATTCAATAGAAAATACAAGCACATGATCGCATCTAAAGAGTATTTTACAGAGATATTTGGAGACCATATTGCCCCAAATATAAAAAAATATACGTAATGGATATTTAAGTAGTCGCATAAATCAGCCATTTCCGTGTTAGACAATGTTTGTCACTGAGCGAATAATCGGTCACACCGGCGCTATACTTCCTTATAACCAGTAGTCAATCAGAAGCACTTCTCGGAATATAAATGAGTTTCGGCAAATTGCATCACGATGTGATTTTTCATCCCAAGAAAAGAAGAAGAAGGCAATTCGTGAGAAATGTGCGGAACGATGATTCAAATTCCAAGAAAATAAAAGCAGTATTCGAAGCAATTTTGTTTCGAAAATTTGCATCAAAATCTGAAAACTCGCTACGAAGATATTTGAAAAAACATTCGGACATATAAATTCGTTACACAGTCATACTATACCTGGAACGAAAAATTATAGAAAATCAGAAAAGATTATTATTATTTTCGATTGTAGAAATTATCTCAATCAAAACCCAGCCCAAGACACCTATGTTAGAGTATTTTTCGTGACCAAACTCAAAAATCTTCCTTTTCAGGCGTTTTTTCTGCTTGTACCGTCGATACACTTTCGAACGTTTAGCTCAAGCAAATTTACAATTAAAAGCAAATTGCAAATATTCAAAAATTTGTTGCAAAATTTTCGATACAGGCACTCGAAAATTTTGACGATGCAAAGATCACTTACAATCTCTTGAAATGAAACAAAACTATCTGAACAATAATGAATGCCGAAATAAAAGAATTTACTTTCTCTCATTTTCCCATTTCCGATGCAAATGGCAGGCACTTACGTCAACGGTGCACATGTTTGCTCAGTCATTATTCACTGCCATAGCGTTTGACGTAGAAAATACAAAAAATCAGTGTGAGGTGTCCATCAAAAGTTTGCTGACTTACTCGAAATTGAGTCAGAGGTAAAAACAAACTTTTCCAAAGAAATTTCTCAATGTGATGCCCAGAAAAGTCCAGGAATTGGCTTGGATGATAATCAAGAGAGCTCAACCAAATCAGTGCTCAAGTGGCAGGCCATACGACTTGTTCATAGCCGAGAGGTTTAACTTGGAACTCTCGCCCACTACCGTACTTGAGGACGTCGACTCGCAGAGTGTACGGTAATGGACGGGAGTTCAGAGTTGGATATCTTGGCCATGAACGAGTCATATGAGCTGCCACCTGGGCGAAGGCTTGACTAGAGCACTCCCATTTCGCATAACAGGTTCGCATAAGCAAATTTGCTAAGATTCTCAGAAAACAGTACAGATTTCACAATCTCTGCACGATAAAAATAGAAAATTTCTTACAGTACCCATCCTTTACCAATTCAACGCTTGCAGCATACAATAAAATATGAACGTAATTCGAATGGTGGAGATAATCCTATCCAAAAAATGTGAAAAAACTTCCGCACCAGTACTCAGCATTTATATTGACTTCCCAACAATGAAACGTTCCCTAATTGCTCCCATTCGGGGGAAAATGCACGCAACGGAAACATATATTCAGTTACATGACTGAGAGCACATTGCGCAATTTCGCACGCAACGAAAAAAGGACCATGAATGGATTGGTGGATAAGGGGAAGGAAATGTGGGGACGAGGAGGGCAATTTGGCAATTTTGTCGAATGGACTACTGTAACAATAAAGTGCTGTGGATACATAAGCAGTAAAACTGCTAACAGCAAGCAGTTGTAAAGTGCAGAAAAAGTTCCTTAAGAAAGGTTTGTGAGAAGTTTTTCCCATGAAGTTTCCAAGTAATGGTAAGGAGTAAAGTGTGTCATTGGCACATAAAAGATGAGATGAGATTTTAAAAAATTGTGGAAAGAAGAAAGAATATCTGAGAATATCTTCCTCATGAAGATCTCAAGTAAAGGCTGCTTTTATGTTGGCCTGACAATCAGATAGACGAAAAGGGGCATGATACGAATTTCAATAAAGTAAATTTTCCTATCTTGCCGATTTAGCTTCATCCTTTCAAAAAAAGCGATTCTCAACCAAATGTTATACTTTACAATGAATATTTCTGCAGCATGCCTTGGAGCATACAGAATACATAGATAAACGAACTCTATGCAACACGGAAAATAAACTCTCCGTTTTGTGTAAAAACAAAATTTCTAAGTTGCTAAAGGCAAAGAAAATCAAAGAGAAGTACTTGACAGTGAGAATATCGCCAGCGTACTCACAATGGTTGTAACTTTCAGCACAATGTACAGTCAACTTACAAGTACGATGACAAACAAGAACAGCGATACTATGAGAAGCAAAGTAAACAATTTCTTGCTAACAATACAATTGAAAGTGGGTGCCAGAAACTCCGAGCAGATTGTAGATAAGGATGATGCAATCGATGGTATTCAGGGGTTCAAATTACATCAAAAGAAAGCCTGATTCTTTCGAAGCTCGTATAATAGTCAACAGCGCGTTCTTACAATATATTTCCACAAAAACTATAGATAAAAGTTGGCCAAATTTCAAAATGAAGCATTTTTATGGTGATTTTTGCGCAGTACCAAAATCTCCTAAATTCAAATGTACACAGAATCAAGCAGCCGTTACTGCTTTGATACAAATATTGACTGCAAAAGCAAGCTGAGTAACATTGACTTAAAAATTTCCGAGGAATCCAGAACTCTCGACTGCAAATTTGCAGCCGATGCAGAATGGAATACAAAGCCAGGATGGTGCAAGTAAATCAAAGAAATTTTCACAAAGCCTTGCAGTCAACGAAGCGAAAACTGCAAAATGTGAAAAGAATTTCTCAAAGCACCCTATTCTTATGAAAATGATTTTTCCAGAAACACGCACGCAAAATTATTCGTGGGAGTTGCACGCCGTTTGGTTACTGTATGCCGAAAAATACATGGCTCGAAATGATGAAAGTTTGATTGCCTATTCATGCATATAAATCACCTTTGTTTGCAACGAGAGGCCTTTCAGAAATTGGAGTCACAAGTTGTGAAGACATAAGCAAGTTTTGGTTGAATATATTGAGAAAATCTTACAGAATGCTGCTGCGGACGGGAAACGGGGCAAGTCGGAAAATGGTGATGGTCAATGAAGAGATGATAAATTGACTTCCATATTTTCTCAATGGTAATTCATGACTATTCAAAGAAAAAATACCGGGATTCTATGTACAACGAAAGATTGCAGGATACGTATGGATCGATATATTGATCGAATAATCGACCAATCAAGAGAATAAGCTTGATTTGACATAGTTACATAAGGCTGCATCGATAAATGTGAATACCAGATTGCTAAAGCCAACTGAAACAAGAAAGATCAGTTCGGGTACATAGTTCACTTGTCGCTCTCGAACAAAATCGATATATTGATTTTTGCCATGCTGTGTTCATATGACCAATCGGCCTAGCGTTGCTTAAACAAAATCGATACATCGATTTTTTGAAAGGGATTCTAGGTGGTACATCGATCAAGCTTGTAATAATTTCTAAAAAAAAAGCCCTACTCAGAGGACTTCTGGAAAGTGCATATTATACGCTAGCAAAGCAACCCCTCTGCGGAAGAAAAATAATATTTCAAATCATATTATAATAAATATTATTGAGTGAGCTGTTCACGTTTTGGATGTTAATTGTTAATATCATTCACAAAAAAACAGAAAAGGTTAGATAAAAATCAACAAGTTTATGGCAGATAAAGTACACAAAAGAAAATTCTGCCAATTTTGAAATAAAATTCAAAGCGGGAAAGTGTAACAGGAAATTCCGCATAGGCAAAAAAAGCCGCCATAAATTCCGCCGAGAAATCTGGGGATGGAAATTCACGCAATAAAAGTTATATTCGGTCAGAGGACCCATGGGAGCGGTACCACGATTAGAATAGTATCATTGACTAATTGAGAAAGACGTCCGAACGTCTAATTGCGAGCGATCGCAACGAAAATGAAATTCCAACCACATCATGCTGCGCACTTTCATTCGCGATCGTGCGATTAGGCGAAATGAGACATGAGCGCAAAAGAAAATGTGGGTTAAGCGAACGGCTAATAGCATAATTCGTTCATTTCTTTTCCTTGGACGAGTTTCTTATAGCAGAGACACATGGCAGAATATTAAGAAAGTAGAATAAAAAATCACAAAATCTTTAAACTAAATCCAAAAAACAATCTCACCAAAATCAAAAAAAAAACAAAAAACTAAACCTGGTTTAATCCAGATGTCCTTAAAAGGATCGATTGGTTCAGGAGTCATTGTAGCACGTTTCAAACACGAATAAACACCGTGATAACTAGAAATATCCGTTTTCATCAAGAAATTCTAGAATTTTCAAACATGCAGAAAGGGAGAATAGAACATTGGAAAATTTCCGGAATAGAGGAAAAAACAAATTAGATCCTACTTGCCGCTCTCGTTCGTCTAAGAGCGTGGGCGAATTGGAGAAAAGATTGATTGTGTACAGATCGCTTTTGATCTTTTAGTATTCTTCGACAGAATTTATTGTTTTTACTCATTCTTGAATCATTATCCTCAAAAACGGGATGAAGCTTTTTACGAGATTTTCAAGAAAAATTCTAGATTGCTACGTGCTTCTTTACTGCACAAATTCTATCTTTAGAACAGAGAAGGAAAATGACTCCCGACTGTTTGTATTTTTGATTCCTACTCATGACTGTGCGAATGTACGAATAAATTTCACCTTAAAATAATCCGATCAAGCGATATTTTTCCCGAATTTCCTGGATCAGGGACAAAGATGGTGTTCAGATCAACATAGCATACGAAGTTCACATGTAAGGGCTAAATATAGGACTAAAAAGAAATTCTGAAAATTCAGGTAACCCATACTCAAAAAATCAATTTTTTTGAAAAAGCTAGGATTGTGGAAAAATGTATGCAAAAAATACACGTAACTGCAGGAGATGCGCTCTGATTTACAACATCAAAATTAATCGATATATCGATTTAGCTTCGAAAGAATGCTATAATGGTAGACACAGTTGTGTACTAATTTATCACATACTAATTTAACATTTTTTGAATTAGTCATAAAATTATTGACATCACTACATCGATATTTATGATTGAATCTGTGTGAATATGAAAGAAGCAGTAGTTTTCAGTAAATTGCAAAATTATGCATTTCAAAAAATTGTAATCTCAAGAGCAGTGAGAGCGGAGACGTTGGTAAATGAGAAAAATATGTAAAATGCCATATTTCTGACGATTTGCTCAGATCTGGCAAGAATTTGAAGCCTTTCTTACATCAAATGATGGATGGAGCATCATCGATCGCAATACGATTCTTTGACAGATTTATAGCACCGTAAAGATTTATGAAATGCTTCAAGAAAAGCAACACAGATGTGAATGGCGTCTAGGCGTTCCAAGATAAAAACTGGACAATCGGGACAACGATTAGCAACCTGCTATAGGCACTGCGGCTAAACCACTATTCTGAAGGTTTATTACGATAAACATTAAAACTTTCACTGCAGACTAAAACTGGAGATGTTAGACAAAAAAAACTCGAATGAATCACGACCAAATTTACGCGTAAGAAAGCGTTAGAAGTTTCAAAGAAATAATTTCAAACTAACCACAGCTGACATAAACAAAGCCATAAATTCTCCAGACTTATTCTTTCTTATTATACTGAACGATCCAAGGAAAGAAAGAGTAGTCGTTGAAATGATTCGCAACGAACGAATTCCAGGTACTTTCCTTACAAAAATCATTTCAAGTAAGTTTTATAGCAACAACGTACAGTCGAAGCGACGCGACTGACATAGTGTTCTTACGTTGTTGACAACACTTGCGCGTGAAAATATGGTGACATTGCATCAAGTTAGAGAGCACCTTTACGCTCTTTTTTACTGCATTTAAAGGGTTTTATGATTTTTGTCGCTACTGCAAGCATGTAGATTTTTCCGCGAAAATGTTGTCGCCACCGCGCGCTATATCATCAAAAATGCTGGGAGTTAAAACATGAATCGATAAAAGAAGTGAAACATTCAGAGAGCGAAAAGATAAAACAATTAAGACCCGTTTGTAAGAATTCCTTCAGTTGAAAGCACAACCATAGAAGTTATACAAGGACTGAGAAGCTTAGAAGAGCCAGTATAAAGCTCTAAAAAACTCTGCAACGAAAGTGTAACGCAAAAAAAAACTGGCTAAACAAATATGGAGGGCATGCGACCGACAAACACAAACTCAACCAAGATAAGCTGAATCAGTGATGAGCTGTCAATATCGGTGCCGGTCTCGACTATGACATAAACCTTTGAAAAATTGTACAAAAATCGAAGAAAATTCGATGTCTTGGGGAAAATGGTATGGGTACTCAGTTATCTAATTTGGAAGTTTGTGGCAAAACATTTGCGCAAAAACAAAGGACACAAAAATGATGGCCTTTTGCAGAGAAAAACAGCTTGATCTCGGGCGGGCTCGAACCGCCGGCCTTCTGTGTGTTAGACAGATGTGATAACCACTACACCACGAGATCATGTACCCAATGTTTGATGGAGAAGTTATACAGACTAAGGCTTTATATAGAAACACCTTTCTACATTTCAACACAAAATAATTTTTTGTCAAAACCCTTTATTGAAACTGGCAGGAAAATAAATAGGTCGTCAACTTCTGCGCCAAGTTCTCTAGTTTTAATTTTTTCATTGCAAAAACCAGGAAATTCCTGACATGCAGCAGACTTCCTTTTTCCATTCTTCCACCTTGCAGTAGCCCTAGTAATTGACAAGCTGTGCATAACTAAGCCCTCAGCCCCTAAAAACATGCACTATTTCGTATTGAACGAATTGACTTCGGTGGAATAAATTGACGAGGTAGCCGTGACGGCGGCCATAGAAAAACACACCGGAAATGGCAGAAATGGAATGAAATTTTGGGTTTTGGATTTACTATTTGGGATGAAGAGTGAATTAGAAAGTGAACTACTGAATTCTAGTGAAGAGCGGATACAAAAAAAACAGAAAAGAAATGTCTGAGAAGCACTGATAAAGCTAATTTATGGAAGAAAATTATAATCTCAAGAAACTCACGAGGTATGTACTGCTCGCGTCCAAAGAAGCGTTCCATGCAAGGATTTGATAGGAATCGTAGGCCAAGCATTTCCTCTCAGGTTATGTAGGAAATTCATCACCACCGTCGGCAGAAAGACATTACAGGAAAGAAATATTATTCATCGAAGGAAGACAAAATATTTCCGAATCGCGTATCTAATTCGCCATAATGCACGGCAAACTCAAATGCTTTGCTTTTTACATATCATCGCAGTAAGATCGATTCAAAGTCGACGATTGCTTGAACCAAATGGTCGTAATGCTAGGCATTTCTAACGAAGCAGCTCGCGGATGAAAACTGTCATTTCTAGCAATCCAAACATTTTTTATGCAGGTTTTCTGCAAAAAAGGACAGGTAATAGAATGATAAACGAACTTATTTTTTACAATTTTGATGCTGCTGCTAATCCTGGATTTATATACCCACCGCAAAGACTTTGCTATGGTAGTACTGAATTCGGCTAATTAAAACTTTGTAACTGAATTGACTTGATGACAAGGGCGAGCCAGGTTTGAAGGTTTTATTCAGCTCCATCAAAGCTGAATAGGCCTACACTCTTTTCTGCTAGAAAATTTCGATGTAAATTTCTGAAAAATACCAAAAGGAAGAGAAAAATGATATCATGGGACTAATTTACCTTGAGGCTATCAAAACAGCATGGAAGACAGATACGTATAACTGTCTTGCACATCATGAAAAAGTAAAAAAAAACTATACAAAAACAAATATGCTAATAAAAATTTCAAAAAAAATCAAATTTGAAATAGAAACAAATATAAGTATTTTTGTCTATACATTGTACAAAGAAATGTTGAAAAGAACTACTTATTTGCTGTAAATGGTCAGGAAAGGAGATAACTATCTTGTTTAATCCAAGATAGTTATCTCCTTTTCCTTTCCTCCTGGTTGTGAAAAAATGGATTTAAGTATAAAAAGCAATGAGTGAATGGATGAGCGAATAAGTGGGGGTATGGGCGAGCAAATGATCGAGAGAAAGATGGTGACTGTTTGATGTTTGATAGATCAATAAATAAGTAAATAAAGAATTGAAATAAACATGTATGATAATTGTCTGACAAATTATGATGCATACTATCTGTGTGACGTGCACGAGGTAATTTTCTAATTAATCCACAACGCATCCACAAAACATTTATAAGAGAGTTTTCTTGCACAAGGAATCTATAAATCTAAAGCAAAAACATGTGTATTCTGAATTCAAAATACAAGAGAATTGCGTTTGTTTCTTCACGCTACAACTACACAATCTCTCCTCTATAGCAATGATCCTAATCCAAATTAGAGCGAGGTTCAATGAATACACGGATATGCACAAACTCATCAGCGTTTCGCCGAAAACCCAGAAAGACACTGGCTTGTTAGGAGACGTAGAGAGGCAGACGACGAGCACCAAGCTCTTCTGCCGGGGACAGCATCGTCCAACAAAGGCCACTGGTAATGAGGCAAGTGCTCAGACTATGCCAACACCAAGAACTTCGTAAAAGATAAGCAAAAACCCAATTTTCTGAGAGGAAATGCTAGCTGAGAATGGCACGGAATGATTGGAACTGGAAGAAATCAAGGGTTGTATGGCATCATCAATAATCACAAATAGAAAAGGAGCGAGGACAGATAGAATATAATAGAGGCGAATTAGAGCACCGGAAAAGAAGAATATCTGTGCGCGCAATCGTTTCGGACGATATTATCGCCATTTGCCATTGACGAGAACGAGAACGCAGTCATTCAGTAGAATTCAAAAAGAAAAATATGGTGAACATTGACAGGAAAATGGGGATCCGGTTTTATTGCGTACTGGAAGTAAAATGTGGGATGCAAAGTTTTACCACACCCTAAAAAATGCGAATTATTTTCAAGGTTTTCTACCTCCAAAGTAAAAAAATTTCACGTCTTTCATGAAAGCAACTCAAGCATTCACTCTATTATGACAAGAGGCTCTCCAATCTAAGCTTTTCCAAACTCCAGTAAATTCACAAATAAAGCTGAAAAAATTCATGATGGCAAACAATTGTCCCAAAGATAATCGTTAAGATCTAAAGCACATGAGACTCTTGAATGCCTTAGATATACTACTTAAACTTTCCTTCAAATCGCAGAAAACAGGTGACAAATATTTAAGAAAGCTTACTTTTGATTTTTTTGATTGCTCAGTTGAATTAGGTGACTAATCAAGGAAAGATTTCTAAACAATAATTATTCGATTTTCTGACGTGACTAGTGAGGTATGCCCTTCGTACGGTTTTGCGAGAACGCGACACAGTAATAAAATGAATTTTATGGCGGAAGTATAAGATCTTTTTTGCAGTGACATTTTTTCACGAACAGCCCTGTGCCCTCAGCAAATATAGCCAATTTGCCTAATCAAATATGAAAGCCTGCTTTCCTGAGCTAGACAGTTTCGATCCTGAAAAGACTTTACTGCTCCATATTACGAAATGAAGCCTGCCTTCTGCACATAAACCGAACAGATTTAGGACTAAAATTGGTAAAAATTCTTGATAAAAAAGCGCACCAGGCTCTATTTCGATCTCGCATTGATTTCTACTCGTAGATGTCGAACTCCTTGGCCTCGCTGCTTCTTCATCACCAATCGGTAAAGGATTGACATGCCCTTCTGAAACACAAGATTCTCAAGGATCTGGTTTACTTATAAAAACACTGTAATACTCCGTGAATTTGAGCATTACTTACTTTACTCTGTCCAACCCATGCTCTTTTAAATCCTTCAAAGCCAAAAGAGAATAGATGGTAATAGAAAAGTGAGTGTACCTGGATCTTCACCAGCTGCTTGCCGCGCTGTCGCAGTTTGTGGAGCAAGAGGGTTCACACTTGTTGTTTCTGGAAAAAAATTTTATTTTGCTCAGTAACAACTCCGATACTGCAAGATGTTTGCTTTCCTCTAACACCTCTCCTCCTCCCCCGCCCCCCCCCCCCCGCCCCAATCTGCCATCGACTTATTTTTGCACTAGTTTTGCTTTACTCAAACAATAACAGAAGTTTCGATTGTCCTGCTCATATTCCTGTACTTCGCGACCAAAGCTTAATTGAAAGCTCATACGTGCCGAGAGATAAGAAGTTACTGGTAACCCTTATCAACTAACCGCCAACCACAAAGAGCACTTCTTATCTCATTTCTGAATGGATGTGTAATTTATGACATTGTCTGAAGATAATTTTGTCATTTCTGCAGTAAAGAAGAACTTTTTTCTGTAAATTTTGGTGCAACGTCTATTTTGGTGATGTTGGTGAAAAGGGTGCCGCTGTAGGGAGGGTGCCAACAAGCTTAATGCTGATCATTGTTTTCGGTTTCGATGTAAATAGGGAAGGTATCGAATGAGGATTAGACGAGGAAGTCCGTCGCAAGTTAACTCCTATCATAGTCTATGAAACTCTTACGAAAAAAAAAAACAACTTAACCAAATTACACAGATAATAGCAGAAGAAATTTCCTTCCAAGTCAAGAAGTGACTAACTTACAGAAACCGTGAATTACCTTCATGTGCCACCTGTCCCCCGCCAATTACTATCGGTGGCGAGTCGGATCGAACGGCTCCGTCGTCGTCCTCGACGTCGCGAGGACGTCGATGCACTTCCACTTCCGTCACTTCCATCGCTAATCGATGAATCGATAATCGATCGCCTAAGGAACGCCGAACCTAAAATCAGCATTGCCAGCTTGTGATGAGGAGTACTATGTGATGATGGGACGTTAATAGCGAGAGACGATCGTGAAGCTGCAACATTCCTTATTTCCAAAAACTTTGAGGGAAATTGATAAAAAAAGGATTTTCCGAGCATCGGGTATGCAAGTATAGATATGCAATTCCGTTATATCATGTTGCGAGCGTTTTTTCGATCCCGCAAAAAAATGGGAGTTAAGTACGAATATTTAGCAAGAGCTCGGACAACATAAATAAGCGAAAATACCCATAAAAATTAGCAGTGGTAGTATAACATGCTTTACCACCTCAAAACTGGTTTAGATATAGCTTAAAGCTATGCTTTACGATAAAACTACGAAAATAAGGCAAGTGAGTACAATATGAGAAAGAAAAAGTGTGGATCCCTAGTAGGCATCTCGATAAGAAATTTTTCAGAAAATTACGCTTTCATAAGAAGCTTATTTCCTACAAGCAGATAAACAATGACCCAACATGATTGACGTATGCAACGGTAGGGAGAAACTTCTTAACACCTTTTGATTTTCACCAAAACAAAATCATCTAATTAGAGGTCTTATAGAGCTAGTCTCGCCGAACAGGAACGCAACTTTTCAGCTGTCAGAATCAATCCAGTCAAGAAGGTAGTACCAAACGATGGCAATGACGACCCCACAGAATTTAAAGGCAAGTGATGATCATTTGCTAGAAGATTATTTATCGAAAGAATTCTCGCTGTGCAGACAATTCGCCAAAGCGTCACGTTTTCAGCAGAATTTGACATTTTAGCCACCGATTTCGAAATAGTGGCATTTGCAAAAAGACAATGGTAAAAAGATTACTGCAGGCTGGTACAAATGTCGATGAATTATGATTCATTTGACCATGAATCATTCATAATCGTGAGTGCTAGCCGGCTTCGATCCGCATCGATGAATGAACAGATTAACGCCGAACTCAAACTGATCAAACTAGGCAAAAAATCTCAAAAATAGGAAAAGGCAGTAGACTCAAAGGTAAGTACAATTACCTTGGCATCGTGCTACAATATTTGCATTATCAGTGAAAATATTTACTTACTCCTCAAGAAGGTAAACGTATTCACCGTTGCACTTCAGTTAAAAGTCACGTTCTTGTAAGTTTTTACAAGTAAAATTTAAATTTCAACGACAGCGCGACTGGATGCGAGGGGGGGGGGTGAACAAGACCAATAAGTGGCGAATTGAAAAGTGCAATCTTTGATTTCTGCAAACAACAAACTGCACGTGAGACATGTTCAACAACGAAACACTATAAAAAATATGTGCCTGTTTTATGAGAATTTTTGCTAATTTTTGGTTTAAAGATTCCAGAAAATACTGAATGCCAAAACTCCACCGAGAGCAATATTTTGCATCCCAAATGCTCAAAAATGTACAAGCTGAATGAAAATCAGCATAAGCAACACAGTCGATGGAAATCGCTCGCCCGTTCGCCATTTGTTGAATCAGCTTCTCATTATCGTTGTCAGTGAGTGCATATGCATTGAAAGCCCCCCATCTGATCTGCGTCACCTGCTAGCACTTTTCGATTGATTGAAAGAAAGGAAAACAGGCTTGATTGAGAAAAGCGAAAACAACATCAACAACCCTAAAGCAAGGTCGAACTCCGAACGAATTATGGACTTTCAGATGCCCTACGAAGTTTTCCGAGAAATCTAAATAAGTAACTTTTCTACGTGGATTTATATCAGTGAAATCATCTATCTCTGTATTTTCTTTCTTACGTATCCAAAATAAAAATGATAAGATGATGTGTCAAGTCTAGGGGTGTACGGGCCCTAGCTTGATGTGTAGCGGTACAGGTTGGTATTATATATATTTATTATCTACATATATTACAAGAAAGGGGAAGGGGGAAGACTGACTAGGCAGCCTTACGGGACGCGGTCGTAGGGGGTCACTGGCTCCTATCTGACCTTCTCGGCCAGCTCACGGGAGAGCAGCAGGCGGAGCTTAGCTGCGTCCCGACATCTCCATTCCTTCAGAAAGCTCGTCCTCGAGCTTGTTCGGCTGTTGTTGAATGTCTTCCGAGTTACGTGTGTAAAGGGTACACGTGTTACGGCGAGACCATAAGGAACTCCGATTTCGGTACCATTATCTTCTGCTTGATTGAGTAGAAGAGTTGGCTTAGGCGGATTGGTTAACCAAACACGACCTTCACCTCATCCTAGGGGTATAGAGCGAGCTTGTCCTCAAGCGGAGAGATATACGGAATGAACGATGTGACGTAGGGGACTGCTTGGAAGAGGCAGTAACATGTAGTTGTAGGAAGTGAACAGCGTATTATATCTCGGAAATTGACAAAGGGGAATAGTTGGCGTGGAGATTTTAGGAGTATAATGTGACCGGTATTTGAATGTTGATACGGGGAAGTTGTGGGTTGGAAGGGAACTTGTTGAGAACATGTTAATAAAAAAAATAGCGTGGTGAGCAGAAATTACATAGAAACCGAAAGTATTGAGCGATATTGGATGACATTAGTGATTCTGAATTTATATTTTACATGAAGTAGTTAAGCAACATGTGGAATTTTAGGAAGTATAATAAAATAAGGCATTGTATAATTTGAACCGAGTGACATATGGTTATACAGCATATAAATAATGCGATCGATTAGAAAACGGAGAGGAAGATTTAGATGCAGAATTGAGCACAACAAACTGTGTTTAATTCAACATAGTGGCAAATTTTGAGTGTTAGAGAAAAGGGAAATTTTTTTTTTCGCTGCCTAGAACAAAATATTTTTTCCATTCTTTGAACTGCCGTTTCAAAGAAATTTGTGCTTATAGATAATCGCAGCGGTGCGGCAAAATAGGTGTAAACAAACTCACGTTGAGAAATATCTCGACAGCAGAAAAAAAATTAAAACTCTGATAGTCGGATTTTTTCCAAACTGAGTTGCATAAAATTGTCTTGCAGTCTTGCGACCAAATTCAAGACTACATTCGTGAACAAAACAAACATGATGTCGTTCATGTTCTGATGTTTCCTTTTTTTTCAATTGTTTTTGATAATTTTGAAATAGTGCGTTTTTGGAAGCATTAGCCCATTTTCGACATAGACAACATGAAAATGCAAACCAAGTTATACAAAATAAATTAATAGTACATTTTGGCATAGTAAATTATACAAACAGAACGTTTCCACTGCAGAAACTACGATATGTAGCTTTTGAGTTATAAGTGTAAAAACTTCAGGGGAAATGATCCTAACATCATGTGTGGTAATTCACGACTAATTTTCAATCTAAGAAAGCTATCTATGTTTCTTCAACGTCCAGATCCAATACAGAAAATTTTATGGTGTGATTGTTCCTGAATTCTGCTGAAATCTGTAAAGGAATCATTACCATCCTTTTCTAGGGAAAAATAAAAACTGGGTGACGTGAAATGTTCTAAACAGTTTCTTTTCATTCCCAAGAATGAATTTCAGTGCGACAAAAAAAAACTATGCCTCCATTGCTTATTGTCAGCTTCGGCTGATCACCTTTCAAAAAAAAATGCGGTCATTTCTTCTGATCAGAATATCAATCTGGATATCTGAACATGTTCAGAAGCACTGAGGATTTTTTTCTTTTGGCAAACAGCAAGTTATTTCTTCTGCGAAGCGTTTCGGTTAAAAGAGAATTGTTCTCTGAAAACAATCTCCATTCAGCTACAAGTAATATTCTCTGAAAATATTTTTAATTGTAGTTCTGATTGCTACGTTTAACAACGTAATGCAGACTTGGTTTGTGCAATTGCACAAAACTGGAGGAACTGCTATATTCCAATGTTCTTACCAATAGTCTGTCCATTAATTAGAATCAAAGTCATGAGCGCGGTTTTCAATGAACTGTTACAATCGATGCATGTTTTACAACCATTTTGCGAGCTTCTTCATTGTTTGAGTGTGTGATTACAGGTCTTATCCAGAAATGCTGAGGCAACGAGCCGATGTGAATTACTTAGAAAAAATTATTGCACTTTCGGGTTGTCAAACTCAAAAAGTCAGTGCAAACAGGACGATGGACGAATTTTGTAAAAGAAAGTTTTTTTTTCATCAGATTTGTGCACAATCAATAGAAAAAATTACGTCATGGAAACAACTCGAAATCTTTCAAAAAAAAAACGTTCATCCAGAAGCATAATCTTTTTGACTAAACTGCCATCACTACCTTTGAATTTTCTTAACATGCAGAAACTGAGCTTGGCCGAGCTCTTCGTTACTGTCGTTGAATTCAGGAGTGCGAAAGAAGTAAATAGTAATCAGACTTTATGCTAGCCTTGCTCACACATCTCAAAAGTAGTCCGATCTGCAAAAAAAGTGTGCCATTTTATCACTTTGTATGTAGTGACGGTTGTGGTGTAAACAGACACATCTGAATTGAGCAACAGAAGTGGAAATTGCTTTTTTGTGTTCGGTAGAAGTAATAGTTTTGAATTTTTCAGGTACCTCATATTGTAAGGCATCTAAAAGTGCTTGCGATAAAATTGGTTTCGAAATTCTTGCAAAAAATAATAAGCTTATTAAAAATTGATTGCGTCATATAATTCTGGGATCTGCTCTTCTAGCTTCTAAAATAGCGAATTGAAAAGTTTGCCTTTTTGCTGAAAGTTATAACCTTGAGACCGGCAAAAGTTGCACATTTCACATCCTCCTCCAAAAAAAATGTTTTTTCCTTTCTCTCGATGTTCAAAAAAAAATAAACCAAATTCTTTTTTTTTTGATGTCTTTCTTCTCAGTTCGAGAATGTTTTTAGAGTGTTCTTTCTTCATGAATGTTCCTGCAAACGAATTAGAGGTTGCTCTAATGGATGACAAATTTCGGAAAAGTGGATGATTGAAAAATTCGTAGCTCTTGTGAGAAAAAAGATTTCAAGTTAGGATTTTCACTGCCAAAAATGAATGTGAGTTTTTGTGAATTTGTAATTCAGAGTTGTTTTTTCGATCGAGATCATTCATGTGTTGATGAAAAAAAATTGAAAATAAGAAAGATTGTTCTCAAATCTGTTGTACTAATTTGATATTTTTGTGAGGTTCAATTTAGAAACTAAGAAAATGCTTGGTTTTTCTTTTCGAAAGCGCTTGTGAAAGTGAAGTAACCCGTGCAAAAACGTTTTCTTTATAACAATATTTTTGAATAAGTTCAGATTGGTGGAGACATTAAATAATCAATATCAAGTCGGAGTTTGAGGAAAGAATCTTGAAGGTTTGATTTTTATGTGGAGTGGTGTTTTTCTTAAACGAAAAATTTGGTCTGTTCCAGTATAAGGTTTATTTTGAATATCAGTTTCTTCCTGAATAAATTTTTATGATGACGAGAAAAAAAATTCTAGCAATTGGAAACTATGGTAATAACTATTCATTTTTCTTTGAAAAAAATTATGAAGAGTTTCAACCGTGTAAAGAAACCTTATCTCTTTCAATTTCAGAATTTTCAGCAGAAATGTTCTCTGAAAACAATTCTACTTCACATTTCGCCAAACACTATGTGAACATACCAAGGGTTGTGATCTGAAAAGTACTGAAAGTGAAAGAAATTTCCTTTCCTGCTGTGTTACAACCGCATTTTGCGTATACCAACAATTGCTTGAAATTTCTAATGTAGATCAAAAGAAAAAAGAAAGCGCGATGTTCTCAAATTGTTCAGCCTCATAGAAGCTAGCCTTTTTCCCCTTCGAAAATAGATGAATACAACCAAAGTTACTAAATAATGATGAATATTGCAAAGTCGGTTAAGCAGTGCTGTCCTAATTTCTTCTCAAAGAAGATGGAATTGGATGTTGGGTCTGATATTAATTCTGTATTTTAGAAACTTTGTGAAGCAAAACCCTGAAAGTTGGTTGTGCAAAAATTTTTTTTAGTTTTTTTTTTTCAGACTTACAACAAAGTCGGAAGATTGTCAGTTATAAGCAAATTTAATGCAAGCACAGTGTAGCTGATGCATAGATTGAAAAATGAAATTTTTTTTTGAGTGTTTCGAAATTGAAATGGATAACAAAGCGATTTGTTTCTTTTTTTCTTCGCTTTTCTTGTTTTTCTTTTTTTTCAGCATTTCAATTCCAATTTGAAATGGCATCAGGTCGTTCTTCTTGAAAGAAATGTTTGTGCAGTTTGAGTTGAAGAAGAAATTGATTGAACGCTCGAAATATTACCAAATAGACGTAGTAAGAGCAAGAAATGTGATTAAGAACATTAGCATCTACAAAAACTCAAAAAAAATCACTTCCAACTTTTAATCATTCAAGGAAGTTTTTTTCACTTAGTCACTTGGTGAAAAAAACGCTGTTCTAATTTTTTTTGTAGGATTCTGAGACTTTTTGAGCTGAAAGTATGCCAATTCTATTTTTGAGGAAAAGATGCTACCGCAAATGTGATAACAATGTTATTATCTCTATATCTGACATTTCCAACCTTGGAGCAATGTAAATCAAAGGATATAAGATTTCAACTCGTTGCGCTTTTTTTTTTACTACCATCTAAATCACAAGTAAAGGACCGAAAATTTTGGTTTTTTTTAATTGAGAATTTGATGATATATCACTACTTATAAGTATAGCTTAAAGAGTATGATTGTCAGAAGCAGAGGATGTTAGATAGATAACTCAGATCATGTTGATTTTTTTTTTTGAATCTGTACTCCAAAGTGTGAACTAATTCAAAAATTTCAAGTCCAAGCGTCTAAAAATCAATGCATATGGCAGAGTATTCGACAGAATTGATTGCAATTATAAACAAGATCCGCTGTTTTGGCATTTGCATATGTTAGAACGCAGTTTTGGGTACAACGTGGAAGCGCGTCATTGTGACTATAGATTCGAAGGACAAAGACTACTGGATTTTTTTTTCAAGGCAGCAATGATTTTTATCTTATTTTTGATACATGGTGACTGTTCCTCAAAATTGAGGCTATCAATCTACTTGAGTAACTTGAAAAAGACGAAAAGTATCTGCTCTTGAATTTAAATGACATGAGATCTGATCTATGCATGATCGATTTGGGCGTGATCAGTTATCAACATTGTGGAACTATTGGCAACCGTAGAAAATTTAACTCGGAAGTTGCGTAATTCCTCTCATGAATTTTAAAAAGGCGGCTGCGATGTGCGATCAAAAGTTTCACTACTAGTCTCCGGATTGACTTGTAGGAGGCACGCGCCGAGACCGATGGTTGATGCATCGGTGTGGAGGATATAGGGTTTTCCTAGAATAGGAAGCACTAAAACAAGCGCATCCACTAGGGCATGTTTTAATGCTTGGAATGCTATTTCTCACTCCTTGCTCCAAAGAAAAACTGCATCTTTTATGCGAAGTTTGTTCAATGGATGGGAAATTGTAGCAAAACGCGGTAAATCTTCAAAAGTACGATCCTGCACTAAGAATGATTTGAGTGCTATTATTATCTGTGAGGCGCGGAATATCACCAAAGCTGTCGAAATTTTTTTTTTATTGATCTAGACGTGTATCATTTTCATGAAACAACAAACAATATAATTAGTGTTGTGTATAGTATGAATATTTCTAAATATTTCAAAAGGTTTGAAGTGGTTTTGTATCGACAGCAGAAGGTAAATATTACGATAATATAATTTGCGTAAGATATACGGCAGCGGGATATCGGGCACAACTGTTGTTGTTGGCAGTATAAGTTGCATAAGAACAGACGCTAAGGGGTCATACTGTGCAACTGCTGCTGTTGGACGTATACCATGATCGTAAAAGATTAGGTTACGCAATTATTAATCCTGTTCCAAGGCTTATCGCGACGCAAAGCAGACGTATTTGCACTATCGCAGCTGAAAGGTCATAGCGCTCAAATAGTATTAATTTGTCACAAAAAAATTTGTCGCGGGTCACATGCTTACAACTTGCGAGGGCAGCTGCGTTGCTCTATAGCCAAAGGGGGTCACCGCGCGCGGACAGTAGCACTGGGTTTTGCTATATTTCCTGAGAGGTCGAAGCATTACGTTTTGTCGACACTTCCCAGCAGAAGTTATCTGCAGTGGGCCAGCAGATTTATCTTTCTGGGTCTAATACTGCAGTGAATTTTGTGCTAGCAATTGCGAACAAGTCCATTGTCTAATTATAAAAAATAAAAAAAATAAAATAAGTTAACAAAAATTCACGGAATCACGGTTTCACGGATTCACGGATCACGGATCACGGATTCACGGATCACGGATCACGGCATCACGGATCACGGCTGCTAAATGCGCTTTTTAAATTCACGGATTCACGGATTCACGGAATCACGGATCACGGAAAATGCGAGCGCTTTACGAAAGAAAGAAATTGACAAAATGGGACTGTTCGCAGGACTGTATAAATAATTTTTATTTTATTTTATTTGATAATTTTTTTTTCTTTCTGAAAAGGTTAAATATTTGACTCACACAGAGATTAGATATTTCACTCACACAGCTAATATATTTGTGCAACATAAAAATTTGTGCAACATAAAAAAAACACTCACACACAATTGTTCGTTGGTGACGTCCGTAGCGATCGATCGAATTGTAGAAGGGGGGGGGGGGTAAGTTTTTGGAACCCATATCAAAAGTTGAGAAGAGAAAAAAAATTATTCTAGAATTCTAAAAAAAGAAATCTTCCCTGGGACCTCCATGTCAAGTCTAGGGGTGTACGGGCCCTAGCTTGATGTGTAGCGGTACAGGTTGGTATTATATATATTTATTATCTACATATATTACAAGAAAGGGGAAGGGGGAAGACTGACTAGGCAGCCTTACGGGACGCGGTCGTAGGGGGTCACTGGCTCCTATCTGACCTTCTCGGCCAGCTCACGGGAGAGCAGCAGGCGGAGCTTAGCTGCGTCCCGACAGATGAGAAGAAGGATGAATATAATAAGATCAACTTATTGTTGGATCAGATGGATACCATCAAATGAGAACCGTTATCCTAAATATGGAGTTCAAACGTTCGGCTGATTCATGATCCACATTATTTCTTACTTTCTTCTTTTCCATGTACTCATTCCAAAGAAGAGATCTTCTTTATAGAATTTTTTTATCGTAATTCAAATTATGAAGGTCTTTCTCGTAAGATTTTTCATCGTAATTCAAGTAATAGAAATCAAGAGTTCCCTATGCTTGCCCGTATCCTTAGGGCTTCCAATTGAGACTCCGCGATTTCATATTAAGATGGTATCGCATTCCATGATATTCGAGGACGTTTTCACCATAAAAAAAGATTTTTTCATTTTTACAGGAATGAGTATCGCTCTTCTGAAATAGGAAACACGACGAAATTCTGCTGGCTCGTCAGACTAAAAGCTTTTTGTGATGCTGCAAAAGTGCACATCAAAATGCAAAAGCTTTATTGACTGGTCAATTTTGCTTCGTTCAAATTTATCACTAGAAAAAAATGTGTTGATTTTAACAGTACAAGGTAGAACTTTTTTAAATATACTGTGATTGAACCTTTTTACTTTTCAAAAGATAATTACCAGCCTAAAACCGTTTTGCGAAAAATAACAAATGGGAGATAAATTTTATTCGCAACTTCCTACAAAAATAATCACAATAAACAAGAAAAGATCACTCTGAACTGATACAGCAGTGGTATTACGATCAACACATAAAACTTTTTCTCGTCAAATAATATAAACACGGGTGCATCACGGGAGATAACGAGAAATGTGGCAGAGACAGGCATGTGAACGCGGTGAATCATCAAACGCCGTCAAACAAAATCGCAGAGAAAAAGATTATTGCGAATTCCAGCAAGCCCAACTTAGTGGGAAGTACGAGTATGAAATGCAAAAACAGAATTCATTAGTCGCTGGGAACAAAATACGATAAAAATTGCTGACAAGAAAGTAGAAGTTCGAACAAACTTATAAAAAAACTCTGAAATTCAAGGAAATACATGGCTATGGGTACATGGAGAGAAGGTAACCCGCAAAGCTCGATGGTCAACTTTATCGAAGTAGATAACAACAAGGTGGTAATCGCTCGAGATCTCGACACAATGTGATTTTTAGTTGTGATTCGATGGTGCAGGCAGCTGCTATCGATACATCGATTTACACTGTAAAATTACAAATTATTTTAGCTTAAGGCTATGTATGACCACCACATCAAATTAATAGAGCCCTTGTAAATATAGAATCAAAACGGCAAGACAAGATAGTTGGAACCTTGAAAATTACAAGAGAACTGTTTTATTGCTAAGGGAGCAAAATGTCATGTTTATGCGTATCAAATGGCGTTCATATATTTGCGAAAAATTTTTGAAAACAAAAAGATTCAAAGATTTAATACCGACAATGTCACTTGTGGCTGTGCCAGTCGAGTGTTTCACAGTGGATGGATGAAATATTCTAATCAACTGAACAGCATAATTACTCGGTGAATAACGATAGCGATCACGTATAAAAGATTTGTTCAAGCCATCCAAGCTGATTCTATGTTTTTGGCACTTGATTTGATACTAATGAGGCATGCACAGAAAAAAATCAGCTTTAATCAAGTAACAGGTCTAAAGTCTAGTAATACAGCAGAAGTATATATATTTCGTAAGCACATGCAGTGAAGCTAGACTCAATTACGGGAAAATAAAATTGGAAAGGAAAGGCGGCATTTTCAAAAAAGACACCTATAACAATTGCAAGGAGCCAGCACTATGAACAGCGAGCAATATGTCGATATTTGAACAAGTACTACTCACAACAAGGACACCAATCGAGATCAGAAGCACACAAGTGGTAAAAATATTTGATGTCGGATGTACATTTGAATAAAACACATACATTTACCTAGGCACACTATCACAAAAACAACCAAGAAACTGATAGCTTACTACCGCAACCCGATCACAAATATAATACATCAACAATTAACAACTCAAGCAAACCAATACGCAGACATCACTTGCGCTGGCGACAACAACTCGGACCGGTCGCACAGCACACGATGGTAGCATAGACAGGCCGTTCAGGGAGAAAGTGGTTCACACAACTAGATAAAAGCACACTGTGATAGCTCTAGAGTAGATGACATCACTGAGTAATAAACAGGTTTTCGCTGTTGCTTCAGAGTTAGAATGTGAGGCCAAAAGCTCAAAGTGCTCAAAGCCTGCTTCAACTCGGAGTAGGTGAAACATTTCGCGTGGAGCATTGCGTCTACATCGCTGGAGGCTTTGCGAGCGCACAGCGCTGGCTATGTCAAGCAAAGAAAGAGCGGAATGAAGTGATGTAAGCATAGGTTTTGTAAGGCTTTGGCTATGGCTCCATGAGATAATTGAAAGAGAGCGGCTGTAGCCCTGAACATTATCTACCCGAGCTTTAATTTATCTCAGCCCCAACAGGAGACCCACAACAAACGATGCAATCCCCTGACAAGGAGTAGCATACAAGGGGAGAACTGGTCCACTCAAACGTTTTTATTAAAACGAAAATACCACTGGAAGACTCCCGATATCGTCGGTCAGCGGCAGATAGGTCGCAAAGGCCGATAGGATTTAGTAATAAGAAGGTGTAACAAAGAAAATCTAAGGATTAACAAGTAATGAATAAATGCACTATGAAAAGGAAAGGAAAAGCAACAGCTCGATCTTCTTATGCAGCGACCTTACTTGACTATCGCTGACTCAAAAATTGCACTCCTCAGGCGTTTACTGTAATTTGCTTCTCTCGAAGTCTTAGCGCTGTTCACCCGTCTAAACTGCAAATGCATCGACGTTCGCGCAGTTTTAAGGTGATCCAATAATCCTCTTCGAGTCGAGATTCGCGCTGTTCAGCCGTTTCTTAAGCTTCAGCTTCGGCGATTTTGTATGTAATGGATAGATGCCGCGAGCCACTCTCGACTGTAAGAGTACAGGCTGGCACTGTCCGGTTCTTTTATTTATCCAATCAATTCCCATTCAAGTCGAGATTCGCGTTGTTCGGCCGCCTCCTGAGATCTGGCTCAAAAGATTCTGTATATAATTGTAAGGTTCTGGCTAGTCCCTTAGATTTAATGGCGACCCTGGACTAAATTAGACTATTATGATAACGGTAATTTGAATAGATGTCTTGGAAAAAACTCAGAAGACTATTTTTATTCTGTGCGATTCAACGAACAAGTAAAATAAGAAAAAGTAGAAAGTAGTACGAAACTGCCATATCCATGGGAGGAAGAGAGTGATAACATGAAAGCATGGAGAGGCAGACATAATAAAACTAAGCTAACGCCATGAGACTCCTACATTACAAACATAGTCTACATATATTTATTTACTTATTGATTAATTAATTAATTAATTTATTTATTATCTAACAGGACACTCCGCGCGACGACAGCCAAAAACTTAACATGGCAAAAAAATACGAGTTCACACAAATACAAATGAAATGATCATTCTTTCGAGGTGCCTCGTAGCAGTCGTAATGGATGTGGCAGGTGGTTGTGGTTGGTGGCGGTGGTGGTGGCGGTTGTGGCAGGTGGTTGGACTGGAGGTTGGTGGCTGGAGGTTGGTGGCTGGAGGCGATGGCGGTTGCGGAGGCGGTGGCAGAGGCGACGGCTGGAGGCTGGTGGCTGGAGGATCAAGGACGTCAAGGATGTCGGCGCTAGTATCCGTGATTCGGTGCATTTCTTTCGGCACACAGCAGCACATTGTGTGGTCGCCCACACTTTGCGCACTGTATGCCGCGGTCGTCGGGGTGTGCTGGTTTCAAACACTTCTCACACATTCCATGCCGGGTGGCTTGGCATGACTTGACCGGGTCCGGATACTTGCTGCAACGCACCGTCGGGTGCGCGTCCTTGTTGTCGTCGATCGAGCAGAATATGCAATTGGAGCGGGTTTAGCGCTCCAAAAGCTCAGAACAGGAATAGATAATGTCCGTGACTCGCTGTTCAAGGCAGCCGACTCGTCCATCAAGCTGCGTCACCTGCTGCACGGCGAGTTCGACTTGGTGCTGGATGGCGCGGACTGTATTGAGTATCTCGTGCATCAAAGTTGCAGCGTCTACGTTGTCAAACATGATGCCTGCCGAAACTATGGGTGCAGGACTAATTCCGTAATGCCTTATATACACATTCTCATGCCTGCTCGGTCTCCGAGCCGCCTCCCTGTTCCGCGGGTATCAATTCATGCTACACTTTGGTAGTAAAGCTATTTACGAGGATGCTTATTGCGTATGGAAGGAATATAGTGGTGCTCGTAAGTGGTACATTGCTAATGGGGGCAATTATGTACAGGTGCATAGCTCACCGCCTTTTTAGTTGCTTCTTCTAAATATGAGCTGTACTAACCGTGCCGTCACTGGGACTGCAGCGGTAATCAAAAACTTTGGCAATGTTTAGCACTATTTTGAGAATAGCGAAGTTAAGGATGGTAAGTAGTACCATTGGCCCAAATAGATATGTAAGGCTTGCCATTGCCGTAATACCGATGACGTCAAAGCAGCTTTCCAATGGTTCGTTATGGTGTTCAGGAGAGGTTCAAGGTCGGGCAGAGTGATGCCCAGGAAGTCTAACCAGGAATAGTTCATATTTTTGGGTACGTTGTATTCAAACACATTTCTATAATCAGAATAATGGAGACTAGCGTCCCTTTTATGAGCAGATGTATTCGGGAGCCAGAACATACTGTGAAACAATTCATCCGCACTATTGCGGAGTCGATGTGGTTTCTTCTTGGTGATGATGGTATTAGGACCACAATCAAGTGAAGTGCTTGTGACTCGCGATAAATCGTGGTCACCTGTGGTTCTGCGAAGCGACATGAAACTGTCAATTATGAACCTTGGTGGCAGCTGTAGCATCCACGCAATTGGCTAAGCTGAACTTCGCATGAGAGGTCAGCCACAAGTCGGAGCTATTCACGAACATTTCAGCTTCGACATCTAAGACCACCTCTCCCTGATCAGTTTCTGCTGCAATCGCTTCATCGACTGATTCACCCTCAGAAATGGTGTTTGTATGGGTAGACGATATGCTGCATCATGGCGTATACTACCGATATCTCCATCTGGACATCTACAATAATTTGATGAACTGGCTCCTTCCCAACAAACGCATTCTAGATTGTCATGCACGTATGAAAACTTTTCAGAGCATCATTTCGGTCCTTCATTCGACCGCTATTTTGTGCGTGTCCGGTAAAATGAAGGAGTCAAGTCGGATACGAACTTGTTGGACATCATTGAATCTACAGGCTTTTGCAGGGCTACGACTGTAACATTCATATCGTCCACGCTTTGGCTGACGTAGGGATCGATTTGCAGTTTTCGCGAATGTCGTTAATAACTACTATCAATGATAGCAACCGAGCAAAAGATGCAACTCGATTTAGGAGTAGTCCCCACTCAGACAATTGTTGCAGCGGCCCGATCGCCCAACTGGTCTTCGCTGTTGAACCGCGACACATGTATATCAGTCTTACATGCACTCGGTGGGAACTCTTCGACCACGTTGGGGTCGGAATGCGATGATATATGGTAACAAGAGAGATCGATAGTGGTTCAGTGTTTATTTGGATACGGTAGGCGATAATGTGCGAATAGTGACCTGCGGTGATCAGCAACAGATCATGAGTGCCAGTGACCTCACAGGGAGCCACATGGCAGACATAGCCCGCCCCCTCAGCGTGACGTCAACTGGCATGGGTATTAGGGCTGATAAGGGATCATCGATCCGTCGATGATATTCCGCCGACAAGGAGGAAATAGATACAAACGAATGTGATAGAATATTGTGGTAATGTGCGAAAATATGATCACCTACTCGTTTTAACTGATATTGTAGTTGATGCCTTGGTGCAGTTGATCGAGATTGTTCGGCTAGCGGACCAATGTGGCGTGGGGTGGAGTGCGTACCATTGCGGCCGGTCGCTGACGTCGTAGGCTTCAATGGCGATGGGGTCGTTTCGCGACTGGTCCTCTGTGTTGTTGTTGTCCTCTGTTCTGCGAGCAGAGCAAGTAGTTGTGGCCGAGACCACAACTACTGCACTTTACTGCGCAGGCGTCGTCATGGACTGGCTTCAGGCATTGAAGGCACAGTCCTAGTTTCCTTGAATGTCTTCGATACGGGATCGGGATAGCGCACGCACCTTCCTGTGAAGTGGCTATCCCGGTCCTGTTTTTCTCTCGCTTTGAACTGCGTGAAATAAAATTCTTCAAAATCGTCGACTGTTGACTGCAAAATCGTCGATCTCGCTTTGACTTGCGATAGAGATAAAAGAAAATATCTAAATTTTCACAGCATTTCTTTTTCAAGCCTCTATTGTCCTGCAAGTGAATTTAACATCTGTTAAAGACTCGAATTTTTTGAGCAGTTTTGCTAGTGCTATCGAGTGAAATGAAATTGCCTCTATGAAAATTAGAGACATTTTTGATGCGAAAATTTGCGATTATTGGCAAAAATATGGCTGCTTTTGAGCCATTCGCTACTTTTTTGGCGAAAATTGGGAAGATTTTATCCCAATTTGTGGTAGAGATTGGCTGTCGCGGGTGCGAGGAAGCGAATTTTGTGCGCTAGATCCCACGGTTAGAATAGCTGACCTTCGTGCAGCTGAGGCGAACATTGATCGGCCTTGCGTATTTGGCCTGCACCATAAATGTGGTGGTTGGTAGGCTTTATAGTAACCTGAGACGGAATAGCGCCCCTTGATGTGTGCTATACAGAACACAATCACTGTAGAGCTTTATGAACAGTCGACTAGCACACGTGAGTGCTGTGGTAGAATGCTGACAATCATAGGCGTTAGGAGTTAGGTAACATAGCAAATGTCTAAGCAGAAATATACTCATGTCACAGCTACTACTACTACTACTCATGCTTATGGCATGACCTTTACGGTGCTTAGAAGAAGTAATGAAAAGTTGCAAGGAAGGTGCCGACAAAGACGGCACAACATGCATTACGCCCAGCAGCGGCCCACAGGTGTGTGGCGACCCGCGCACATAGTTGATGCCATGCTGACGGTGGCCCGCACGTCTGTCTAAGCACATAATTTCACTGGCGGCCCGCGCACCCATACACACGCATGCCGAAATTAACAGCGACTCGCTCATCCATATGAATTAATGCACGTTGTAAGCACAAGGGTTACTCGCGTGAGATACGACGCGGTAAAAGGGATGCCATCGGAGCTTGCAGGAGGTGCAACACCTGCTTTTAGGCTGATAACAGGTTTCCTTATGAGTTGAACCTTGATGGGGTTCTAAATAATCTCGTGTAGTTCGATCAGTAAGAAGCAGGAACGACCTCCACCGTTCTTGATCCCACATGGGTTGTCCACCCCGAGGTGACCTGCGCATGCAGGTGCAGCTGAGCAGAAACCCAACCCCAGGGTGGCCCTGCTGTGCTAGCGCGGGCCAACAAGGCAAAAGAGACACTGAGGTACAGGCTGGTCGGCTCGTCCGGGTGACAGGGTCGCTGCACACACTGGAACCGTCGCTGGACCGCGCTAGCATGGCAGAGCAAGGCCCGGAACGGATTTCGCCCAGCCGTTCATGAGCGAGCGGGTGGCCGCAATAAATGTCTGAGCAGGAGTATGGTTCGTTGTTCGGGATGTCTGCATCCGCTGCTGGAGGGCCTGCTTGTTGCTGGGGAGCCAGTCTATCTTGCTTGAGGGCTTACATTTTGGGGACTAGGTGCTGGAGCAGCTTGAAACGTCACATCTATCCAGATCATCAGTAGCAACGCAGTTCTGTAGTACAACTAGATTGTAAATGCATATTTTTTTATTAATAAGTCGCTCCTGCTCATTGTCTGGGAATAGAATTTTCTCACAAAGGATGCGTATATTCGTAGTAGTTCCGCGGTCTTCCTGGCAGATCTTTACATCTTCCATATAAAGTTGCAAAATGTTATTGCTCCATTGTGGCTTCTGCTGTCTTATTCTTGGGAACGGAGCATGATATCGCACTTGTCTTAGCCGATGTACCAGAAATGTAGCGGCTAACGCGTGTTAAGGTTGCCTTAAGCGTTGTCGCCTTTTAGGGATATGAACAAGTGTGGACGATACAACAGCTGGGAGATTTATTGAGTTAGACGACCTGTCCGCACTGGACAGTGGTAGAATGCCATATGTAATATGGGAGCAAGGTAACTCAAGAGAAGGTGGACTATAGAGATACTCATCACAGCAGGGCATACTTACGCATGATCTTTACGATAATTAGTCAGGGGCACAGTGATATGAATAAAAAGAGGTGCCGACAATCTCGACACAAGTGAGGATTCTTCTAGAAGTAGAAGTCAAGGACGGATGGATGCTTAAAATCCTATTTGAAATGCGTTCGATACGTGCAAATTCTTTACTCGCTGCCATCGACATCCTGGAACTGCCAATTTTGCACACCTAAGAATATTACATATCACACACTTCTACTATGAGAAGTGAGTTTTCAAGCAAGCAGGAGCCTTCTCACACTCTGCGCACAGCGAAAATCTGGATAAAAATGACAGCATCAATAGAGGACTACCACGCAAATTAAAAACAAAATTATTTGTGTTTGGCCCAATAGAAAAAAAACAAATGAAGCGTTCTTATTCACTACAAATGAAGGAAGTTAGCCGGTGACGACGGAAGCACCAAGATCAGAAAATAACCTGAATTTCAACGCTGGGCTCGTTCCGGCCTCGGCTGTGGAGCAATATAATCACCAAAGGCATCCATTTTCGCTGTCATCCATGTAAGAGCGCTTTGTACACGCGGATTCTCGCATATCCGTTCTCGTAAGCAATAGATCACGACTAAAATTTGAGAATTACAGGCGCTTAACGCGAGGAACAGTGAAGGATTGAACTGTCGTCTTACCTGCGTAGGCCACAAGCAACGAAAGGCTTAGATAAAAAAGATCTGGACGATCATCATACACAATATGCAGCGGCCCATCTGCTGTACGTGCAGTACCAAACACTGGTTGTACGTCCGTCCAGTCGTACACGAATGACTGCAAGCATACAACCGAATAAACACTAGAACCAAACAATCTTCCAGTACAATCTTGCGCGCTCACCATGAGTCCCATGTCGTTAAGCGCACGGTCTTCCATCCGTGCAACAGCAGCTCCACTGACCCATAACATAATAGTCGGTGTACCAGATACACCGTAACGAGAGTTCAACCTACAATCTCAGAAAATGAGAATCTTCAATGAATGGCAGCATTCATTAGCGGAAAACGCAAAAAATGCTTCTTTAAAGCATTTATCATATATAAAAGCCGAGTGCAAACCCAGGTAGAAGTTTCCAGAACACCAATGCTTGGAAATGGACAAAAAGTTTGAAACTAACTTAGTGAACTCCGTAGCATCAAACGCCACAAACTTCATACTTCCATTGTAAATTTGTGGAAGAGCATTGAAGTAAGGTGCAATGCGTGCACTGAACGGGCACGTCGGTGAGTAGAACAACCTAGAAAACTCCGAACATCCAAAGCACAGTAGGAAAGAATATTTGAAATCCAGCATCAGTACAAAACAAGGAGAATTCTCTTGAAAAAAAAAAACCAAAAGTGTCATGGAATGATAGGAGTAATCTACATCAACGTAACATACTTGAAAAACCTACGTTATCATACACCAAGTTCGCTTATACGTGTCTGTATGCTGTAGCATACGCAGTAACGTGCTAGCGTTGACAGTTTCAACCGTAAATAATTTATCATCACGTGGATCTGAATCAGTAAGTATTTACAACTACTTATAGTACCGATCTCTACTTACAAACTGTTTGGCAGCGATATTTGAATAATCCCTCGGGGTCGAATATAGGATCGTCGCATTTGTCATCATACTCTAGTGGACACAGGAAATTCATGTAGTAGCTGAAAAGTTTCCTCCGATTCACATGCTGCACTACTCTATAACTCAAAGAGAAACGAGATTGAAAAATTTATTTGACTCTGGGCGGTACTAAATCATGAAAATTGCATTTCCTTCAGCATATGGCTTGAATTTGGCATACTGTCCAATGGAATATAGTCATTGAAACCCTACAAAAAAAGATGGCAACGTAGCCTTTAGGGAGACGGAAAGGAAAAACAATTGAAAGCATTAGTGAACATAGGCCTTATATATGCGGAACAACGATAAGTGAGAATTGAAAAAAAAAAGAAAAAAATTGTTCAAAATACTCACTAAAACCATTCCTTTTCATTAAACCGTCGGCAAACACCCCATGCAACATCATCAGGATGTATGGCTTCATCGCTGGCTGCATGAACAAATAGCAACGGAAGTAGTGTGAAAATCATCTGAAACTGCATGGAATAAGTTTATTGAGAGGACCTATCCTCGAACACTTTGGTGACTAGAAAACGCTGTACACATTAACAAGCAAGCAAGTAAATCTGGAGCAATTCTGACTCAAAATTACGTAAGGATGAAGAGCAAAAGGCTGTTTTGGGAGTCGCATCCAATCCGAATAGGCGGATTCAAGAATCAGTATGCGCACTTCAATATCTGTTTGACAACAAGTCATTTCTCCACGTGCAGTCACTGTTGGCATCATTCTTTATCTCTATCAGAAACGCTTCGCCGCAGCACACTCTTGCTATCTGACCGCACATAACAATGAGATTTCCAAAGAAGTTTCACATTCCTGCTTTATAAATCATTTGCACACGTTCCTGTTTCACCTATTCCGGATGATCTATTACCTGAGAACGCAGAACCAGTTATCGAATCCACAAACAACCCTAGTTTCCCAATTAGCACGCCAATTTTCACATTCATACAGTGGATTTTAGTTTCTATAGTTTTCTTATTCATTTTTAGTCTTTCTGAGTGGGCTCCTATGTAGCTCTGTTGTTCGTTCATATTGCCTTCGAAAAAACTCATGGTGATTAGCGCGCAGATCGCTGCTTTTGCTGATGAAACGATAGTAGTGACCGAAGATGTTACTACTGACAATTCAATCTCCCTTTTTTAGGTTTTTTTTCCTTACAAAAAAAGTTTGATTGGGCTTGCGGCACCTAATTGCGTCCGGAATCTACACACTCAAACAGTGGGGTGCTGTCCAAAGGCAGCAAAATTTCTATGCAGACCATTTCACTCTTAGTTATTCTGAGCGAGATCTTCCGCAAACACTTAAATAAAAAAGGAATATATAGGCAGCAAAACAAAGATGGAATAAGGCGCAAATGCGATATATAAGTTTGAGCTAGCTAGTATATTATATCGATCAGAGGCAAAATTCTAGAAAATAACATTACAGTGAATTCAGGTGTGTCACAAAATTTTTCTAATAGCACGGCAGATTCTTGATCGAAAAAAATTGGTCATGCTCCTAAAACAAACGGAAACCTCGATATCAAAAGATAGATAGTCGTAATTGCGAATGAGCATTTAGCCTAAAAATGACATCTTATTCCATCTCTTGAACTCCGTTACCATCCACAGATGAGTGATTTCTGAGTAATCCAACAATACAAACTGCACGTTCCCACCTCTACACTTTGACACTTCTTTGGTGCTCAGTATCGCTGAAGCGAAACTTTGCTGTGTTACAAACAACCTTCACGTTTGAAAAGCATCTATCAATTGCCTAATCATAGCTACTTTGACATCTTTTCAGTTTTCCACAACTACTACTAGATGATTCATGAAAGTATAGTGTTAGAACCAAAAACCAGTATAGCAAGGAGCTCAAATACCTATATCTATGCATAGCATAAATCGGACATTGGCGTCTTGACCCCCCCCCCTTTCTCCCCTTCATTAACCGGCAAAGAAATTTGTAGTTACAAGAATGCACATTTTGTCTTCCTTGCATTCATGATTCACCTTAAGCCAGCGTGCTATTGCTGTTAGCAACCATATCTTCCCTATGCTTCCACTATTTACCGTACGGCTTATGATGTAAAAAAACAACTATGTGTGCTTCCAAACATTTGCTAAGATAACTCATTGAAACAATAAATTTACTCAGGGACGAACTCACCGAATCCTATTTGAAAAAATCTATAGAGAGCCAGGTTGACCCAATATGCGGTTACCGTACTGAAAGCAAAACATAGAACGTTCCGTCACTTGCAATCACAAAGAGAAAACATTTTTTGAGCTTGTAAAAGTAGCCATTCTTCTGGAGAGAAAAAAGCAGTAAACGCGAAGAATAAAATCAGCTGTTGCTGAAAACTGCATCCTGCAAATTCGCACGACAAATTACGTACGCGGTCTGCAGCTGCAGCACACATTGAATGTCGGCAAGATTCTGAACTTTGGAATGCTCATAATTCAGTGTGGGGGTTTTTTACCTTTTGGGGTTGCATTGGGTTTATCTATCAATTAGGAAGATTCTTTGGGAGGGAAATTGTTTGGAGAAGGGACACTTGTGTTGTTGAGTCTTTACTCTTTTGGAGATACTCTTTTGCTTTTTCGATTTTTAAATTGCCTCGAAATCAATTTTTTTGGGTTTTACATTAAGCACTCAGTTTACGAGGACATCAAAAGGTGCAAGTGTTGGCTTGCACTCATAATACTCAGTCGATCCGTGCTTTCACTGCGTATCCGTGCTCTCAAGCGCTACGCAAACTGTTACAACGGCTCCCGATCGGCCTTGAAGTTTTTTAATAATGTTTAGCAACTTTTTATTGTGATTTCACACATTCGAGATGTTTGTTTGTTTGATCATTGTGTTCCATGTGTTCCGCTGTAATGTTAGAAAAACTGCATGCGAATTCAACACTTGTCACAAAGTATTTGTTCAGGTGCCAAACGGGTTTCAATTACAATGTTTTCACCAGGATCGCTTGTGCGTATCACGCAGCTTGCAACAAAAGGTAAGGCTTATTTGAATTTATTCTTAGATTTGCTATTTTTGGTGACAGCCTTGCTTTGTGTTGTAAAGTGTGTATAGTTTTTCTCCCTTCTTTCTCTGTCCAGTGACGTGTTGACTTTGTGGCAGATTTTGAAACTTGATAGTGCTACATTGCACCTTGTTTTGTTTTACGTTACTACATTCTCCAAAAAACTTTCAGTATGGAATTTTTCCAATTCAATGATATATCACTTACTGACTCCACATTGTTCTTTTTAGCGAAAGCAAGATATGACACAATATATTCCTAGTAAAGTGTGAATGCGCAGTCCAAGCTTTTCGTTTTCACTTCCTTTGACAGCTTAACTATTATGTTTTTTTTTTCACAAAAAAATCGGCGTTTTGTTAATGTCAAGTTCGAGAGTTGTATCGCATTGATTGTCATATTTGCAGTCTCCTCGCTGACTCATCTTGGCACAAACTTTCTAACCAAGATGAATCAGCTTTTTTCTAGCTCTTATTCTATATAATCTGTATACCGAAAGCTCCAGTTCTTGGTTTCCTACGGCGAAAAGTGCAACAATAAGTGATTATCAACAAAAACTACTGCTACATCTGTAAAAAGTTCTAACACAGTGTTTGCAAATACGTTGCGGGAAATAATATCGCATCATCGGCTATCACGAAATATTGCAGGATGGTTAACACGAATAAAAGTAAAAGCTGTTTGGTACTGAGAAGCAAGCTCTACAATATGAAGCTTCAAATGTCAGCATCAAGTTTGATTATGAAGTTTGGAGCCAGACTAGGTCTGTGTGACTGGAAAATCTAAAAAGAATCATACCTCCTTCAAAAAAATCTTAGAGATATCCAATTTGCCTACGCATAAGTCTCTACATCAGGCACTTTTATGCAGAGTTTCGTGATTTTTTCATGGCTAGGTATCAATTAGTCTGAAATGGCGTGCCCTTTCAAAGAAGTCCTGAGATTTCCCCTTACTGGTGGTGCTTCTATAGTACTTTAGAACTACCACTAGTTCTTTCTCAAAAAAAAGTTAGATTTGTCGCAAGAAAAACCGAAAGACGCTGCATACTGCATCAAAAAAAAAATTAAGACCACACGAGGAGAACAATATATCTATGGCGCTTATCTTCTCCGCTACCAGTATGCTTATTTAAAAACAAATTTTCAGTCACTTAGGCACGCACCATACTTGATCCAATCAATCCACTTGATCCGCTTCGTCATTGGTCAATTCAGTGCTGACCAATAGCGAAGCGTCCACTTGATCTGCTTGCTCCATTCACTTCACTACTGGTCAGTTCAGTGAACTGACTAATGACGAAGCGGGTCAAGTATGGCGCATGCCCTAAAGTATATGTGTTTGTAAGCGGTAAAAGGGAATGGAAATGTGAACTTTGCCAATTGGGGCCCTTTGCGCTCTGTTGCTAATGTCATCAGATCTCACGGCAAAGCTTTTCTCGAACTACGCTGGGAATAGCTTAAATGCGTCAAAATCTCGAGCTTTCTTTTGTTTTATCTGGGAGGTTTTAAGGCACTGTGATCAAGTTTTGTCATCATCGTGCGGGAAAAAAAAGTTCTCTACGGAATTGCATCAGATATTGTATTTTACTCCTTTATCGCAAAAATGAATTCTTAACACAAACGACACCGCAGCATTAGTTAAAAATATAAGTTTGGGACTCTGACCGACTTACTATTTCTCTATATCCGCTGGAATTCTCAGAAGACGACACTATTGAGCGTGATGTATAAGACAAATTCTCACAGATACACGACTTTTTGGCTTGACTAGTGCAGAATGCTGTCTTGTTTTTAATATACAGAGAGACAGATCATAGACAAAAACGCCGTTTCTTACATAGGATTTAATGAATAAATAATAAAAAAAACAATAAATAATAATATGTGCATATTGAGAGGGGATGAAGAACTCACCCGTCACCCGATGGTGCAACACGTGTGAATCTGGGCGGCGCCCGAGTCAGGACTTCTTGACATGATTGCACCTATATCTACACGTCAGAACAAATTATGTCATTCCATGTTCTTAGCATACAATTTTCTCCAAATTTTAGTTGACAGAATGCGTCTGCTATCACTTCCCAAATAACTGGCCCTAGAATTTTTATCGGAAAGGGGATGGATCGAGGGGAAGCGAGAGCTTTTTTTCACGAAAAAGCGTGATGATAGCCGCGCTCTCGAAACAATCTCTGATGTGTCTCCCAGACTTTTTTGCTAGCTTATGGCGGCAATCCCTTCGTAAATCTCCTTCATAAAGGGATTTAGAGATTTCTTGAATTATCCACGAGTGAAAGCAAGTCATTTACACAGTTTTATAAATTCTATAGATACATAAGCAACTTCAGAATTTCCTGTTCCACTTCCGGGAGACTGGTCCTACTAACATGTCATTTCAGAAAATGTACGATTATATACTTCAACACGGCAGGCGCTTAAGGTCAACAAAAACACGAAAGTGATAATCCAAGGATTCACGGGAAAGCAGGTTGAGGCTGTAGAAGAAACGTTTTCCAACAAGTTTTCTAAAAAGATCTGGTTAAGGGAACATTCCATGGTAAACAAATGATCGATTATGGTACAAAAGTTGTTGGTGGTGTCAACGCAAAGAAGGCTGGAGAAAAGCATCTTGGTTTACCGATATTCAGAGACGTGAAAGAGGTTAGCTTAATTTCACTTTCATTTTCATTTTCGTTTTCATTTGATTCTTTCTTACTTATCCGATTTCTTTGGTTCTACACTATTCGGTTGCTATTTGCTGCTTTCATAAAAGTTTTCAGGCTCGAGAAAAGACTGGCGCAGATGCATCAGTAATTTACGTACCAGCACCATTTGCTGCAAGTGCCATCGATGAAGCGATTGATGCTGAAATTCCCCTCGTTGTTTGTATCACGGAAGGAATACCACAACAAGTATGAACATCCAATTTTGCTGATTTTTCATAATATTTGGTTAATATTCTAGGATATGGTGCGAGTAAAAGATCGACTAGTCAAGCAGAATAAGACCCGTCTCGTTGGCCCAAATTGTCCAGGAATAATTACTGCTGATGAGTGCAAGATTGGCATCATGCCAGGACAAATTCACAAAAAGGTCTGTGCGCTTCATTTTTAGTGTATTTCAGAAGGGCCTCTAGATGCAGCTATATTTTAGGGTATTATTGGTGTAGTATCGAGATCCGGCACTTTAACGTACGAAGCAGTGTATCAAACAACTCAAGTGGGTCTGGGACAGACCCTCTGCGTCGGAATAGGTGGCGACCCATTTAATGGAACTGATTTTGTCGATTGCTTGAGCATATTCTTGGAAGATCATCACACAAAAGGTAGAATCGTATACATTCTCGTGTTCTCATTCTTTTTTCTTTTTATTGTATTTGGTCTGAAAGGGAGAGAGAATCCTTACTGATGAAGAACGAATGTCTTTTTCTGATAATTGATTACTAAGCAATTTAAATCTCTTCACATTTCCGGATTACGTACTTGCAGGGATCATTCTTATTGGCGAGATTGGAGGATCTGCAGAAGAAGAAGCGGCAAAATTTTTGATGGAAAATAACAGAGTAAGTAATCGTAACCATCATTTCACTCTTCTCCCTCTTTTTTTAATTCAGTTCTTGCCGTAACATTGATAATGAACTTTGTTTTCAACTCGTTCATAATTGCTGCCTTCTTCTTGGTGTTTTTCACCCACTTTTCGATCCTGGATATAATTGATTTATAGGGCATTTGAGAAGTCGTAACGATGGCGCGACCGCAACACGCACGCCACTTTCGAAAATCTCATTTTCTTGTTTTTCATTTCTAGTCGAATGGTTTTTTTTGCTTACGTATGATAGTTTCTCGCCACTGGAAGTGATTGATCGTTGAAGTGACGTCTTCTTGTATGAGCGTTTTATGTTCCTGTAGGCACGAAGTCCATAGTCAAATCTATCATCACGATTTCATAAATGACCTATGCTTATAGCCTTCAAAATTCGCTTTAGCACCATGAGTTATTTCTCCAACAGTTTCCTTTGTTGTAAAAAAAAAACTTGCATTCCCAATGAAGATCAAACCTTTCAGGGTGAGCATGCGAAGCCTGTTGCATCTTTCATTGCCGGTTTAACGGCACCTCCGGGAAGAAGAATGGGACATGCAGGCGCCATTATCAGTCGGGGAAAGGGAACTGCAACTGATAAAATCAATGCTTTGAAAGAGGCTGGCGTACATGTAAGTTTTACTTGTCTAGGTACTTTCATTTTTTTTCAAATTTGCGTTTTGGCATTTTTTCATATTTCTGTTTTCAACCTTTTTTATTATAGGTGACAGACTCACCATCAAAATTGGGAATTACCATAGCTAAAGCTCTTCTCGAACAAGTCACACACATTGATGAGGATTAGATTCTGTTATCAGATACTTAGCTTCTTAGCAGTCTTGGTAAGGTGTCGCTGCAGTTCGGTTCGTGCCTAGTCTAGGAAATGATGTTTTATAAAGGACAAGACCCGGTATTTTATTACCTCTGCCTTTTAATTTGCCTTTTTTTTATGAGATTGTATGTTGTATAATGACTTTCTTTTAAGTAAATTATATACGAACCTTATTTGAGTGCTTAAGCAACTAACGCAGCAGAGGGTGCCATCATTTAAGCTGAGTGACTAATTACTGTTGAGATGAAAAATGATGCATTGCCTATTTTTGCATGGAACTAGCGCTCATCGAGCTTTTGCTCACTTTAGGCAAAGCCCCAAGACAAATGTTTTGTGAAATGAAGAGCTCAAGTCAAGAACGAGGAGGAGGAAGCTTTTTCTAGGAATGGAATCATATAGGAGAATTTTATCAAGGTGTTACCCAAAAATGGATATATAGAGAGAACGGAAGAAATTACTCAAAATGCAGTGTTAGAAATTTAAAATTTAAAGTTTATGGCCGTAATTTTACAGGGAGATGTGTTGTAGGAAAGACTGCCACATTTTACACTGTACCAAGTCACTTCACTCGGCAAACATTATTTACTGTAGCTGTTGGAAAGGCACGGAAGAGTTACAAACACAGAAAGTAGCACACGAAATCACTTAATTCTCCAGTAATGAAGGAAAGCATTTACACCGAAAAATTCAAAAAATAAAAAATAAATGTTCTGATTATGGCATACATTGACTAGATGGAATAACTCGTAACAATAAACACAGAGAGATCAAACACTGGGTGTTACACGATTTGGCAAGCTATAAGAATTATGGGGTAGCCTGTGGTGAAATGAAAGAATACAAGCATCATGGAGCAAAGCAGTAACAGTACAAAAGGATGGCAATTTAGCCCTTGGAAAATGCAGAAAAAAAATGCTTTAAAGTCAAGTCATAAAAAATAAGTAATTACTTTGAAGAAAAGAATAAAGCATAATTTTCTGGGAAGATCTGGGAAGAAAGTTCAAGGGAAAACACAAACTTATAAAATGACACATTTTGATGGAAAATTTGGCACATAACATTGACGATCGTTTCCATAGACGTAGAATATGCCTTTTGTATTGCCAACTGTATAGTATACCTTACAGACAGGTATTGCCACCAAACAGTGTCGTTGCTGAAAAGACAGATTAGATTTGTGAATTTGTGCATTCGCTTGCCTAATACTACCTACTCACTTTTTTTGCGAAAAAAAGAAGAGAAAAAGGGACTGATTTTGGTAGAAATCTAAGTATCGTCGCATTGCTGAGACTGCATTAAAAGTTGCGCATAAGCTGCGTGCTAGCGCCGTGCCAGCGCCATCGACAATCGATGCAGATCGCGTACATGTAATGCTGGCACGACTTTGGCACAGCGCAACTCTAGACGCAGCATAAATTACTCTAGAGAGATAAGTTTTTGTTTCAAAAGGATATGTATTCCAATTCAACTGCAGAATCAGATCTTTTGATAATTGTAGTACCTTAATCGGCTGGGTTACGACTGATATATGACAGGCCAAATTACTCTACAATTTACTCCATCGGAACTTTGGATAGGTTGGTGATCTGATATACTCTTTGCTTTTATATGTATGCTTTTTGAGGTAACCCAATCTCTGCGGTAGATCAAAGCAAGTCGACCTACTGTTTCCCTCCTAACCCTCACACATTAGGTATTCAATATATCAACTCGCGCAGTTCAACCACGTATATGCGCTGTTCAACTGCGTATATTCCTTTTCGATCTGAGAAGTATCCTTTCTAAAAGAAGTCATGACGGTACGCTAGCTATCGCTTTTGGAGATTACAGATTTGTTAGATTAACACTAAGCATAATCTCAGCTTCAATATTCGAAAATTCAATGTAAAGTTTTCATTGCTTCCTACCCCATTTCGATCCCACCAGATTCTTTCTCCCTCCACAGAGCTTATATCATAAACTTATTGACAACAACTTCCTAGGTATTTTTCTCTTTTCCTAGGTATTTCCGTGATTTGACGTCAGTTGTTACAACCACATGTGTTACGAAGGTCTTACAGAATCTTATTACTAAAGTATTACAAAAAAGCAAAAACAAAACAAAATAATGAATACATAGGCCGTGAAAAAATCTGATCACCAGCTAAATTTTTCTGCCTCAAATCTGATGCAGTATTTTTTAAGCTAGTCTTTCGCATCTGATGAAAGACAAAAGATGAGTGACAGCTGCAGTGGTCGTGTCGCTGTCACTTATCGCTGACAAACTTGTCACTTTCATAATTTAGCGCTTGCCAAAAAAAATTCTACAAGAAACTGACATTTTTCTATTTTCTAAATGCTTGTCATCACATATGAAGAACCTTGGTTTGTCTTTGGCTGCAGGGCTTGATGGAAAAAGTGGACCGATCTTTTACGTGATGTGGTTAGGAAGTTCTGGATGAATCCATTCTAGCTAGAAGTAGGGAGAGGGGCGGTAACACCATAAAATCTGCGAAATTTCAGGACTCGTGAACGACTACTTACAACAGCGCTCCAAACTTCAAAAGTTTTGATATCTGTAATCTAAAACTGTCCGAATTTTTACACCAAAATTAATCTTCTCAAACCTAGCTCTTTTAATTCTTTAGAAAATAATTAAATAACTGAAATGCTTTTTTCCTTCTTCTTTTACTCCAATTCTTTCTAATTTTTTCTTCCAATGCCGTGGATCTGTCTGCTTTTACCGTATGAAAGTAATAAAATCCAAAAAAAGCTTACCCGTATAACACGGCACATCCCCATGCTGTTCTGCAGATGTTGTGCGCAGAACTGTTTGCTTTTCTCGTTTACTTCTTGCACGGGGTATTTACTTATGGGAAGTACCTAGATAAACACATGGTGATTTATATACCCAATGATATCGTTGTAATCTCACATATGGTTCTTCTTCTGAGAAGATTTCCTTGCCGCTGGCATGATAGAGTAATTTCTCGGGCACTTCACTTTGCGTGAAAAATTCGGAACGCTCGGTTTTGCTTAAAAACTAGCTCTAACTACGGATAACAGTAGAAGTAGAGAGGTGTAAATACTTTTTGCGAATATGAGTTGATCTATGGATGCCACGTACCTAGGAACATGGTAGGCGAAAACTGGTCCCCGGTAACCATCTCTGGGGACCAGTTCCCGTTTAACATGTTGAGCCTCAAAAGACTCCTAAAATAGAAATAAATACTTACAAGTAGATTTTCAGCTTCGTAAAACTCCTGACACTGCCCGTGCCACAACAAGCAGTGCATGGTTTCTTTCCACCACCCTTGCAATGATGGCATTCTTTTACACCTCTCCCATGGCACATGTAGCATAGATCGTGCGTTCCTTAGAATATATAAGATGATTTGTAAAATTTATGATTTTGGAAAAAATTTCTCACCTATACCAGGTGGTGGGACGCCAGTTTTTGACATGAAGTGCATAGGCGTGCCAAGGCCATAGACTTGGTTAGCGCCATGTCGTACCATGGCTGTTGAAGAAGAAGCGTAACCTCGACTAAGGTCAGCCTGGAAAATGGGTTAGTTATTGAGTTAGTATTAGTATTAGCATTAACACCTAGCACATTAGCACTATCATTAGCACTTACATGCGGGAACGTAGCCACCATCGGATGAGTATAAACGGCCGGATGAGCGACCCCAGCCTTCATGCCAGTACCTCTGCAAATCAAATATTCACAAACTCACCCAATAATTTTCTGAGATTACATCTACCTGCAAAAATTGCATTTATCCGTGCCCAGACCTCGACAATAGAAGCAGTGGTATGTGCCCTCAGAGTTACATGCAGAACAGGCATTTATCGAACTGCTTCCTGGCATTTCCATTACTTTTACCTGAAGTTTTCAAATTAGATTTATCAGTTAAAAGATTTGAGAAGGACTGACCTGATCCGAAAACATGTTGCTGGGCTGTACTTCATAATCCCAAGGATTTTGCATAGACGAGGAGGCTTGATCAAGAAGTTGACCAGGGGTGACAGCTTCAGTTGCTTCGGAAGTCGAGCGAGCTTCGGTGAATGACTCCAAGACGTACTGAAAGTAATCTATTAGAACTCGAAAGAAAGAGTTTTCTAATTTTTGTATTGGGTAATTTTGATAGATATTTTGCAACATTTGTTTATGGGAGAGTCTTAAAAATGAAATCCAAAAAAAAACAAAAAAATGCATAACTCTAACCTTAGAATGATTTTTAATATTGATTTTTGCAATGAAATTTGAATTAGTATCCTAGTTTTTTGCATACAATTTTCAACAAAATAGGCTCGTTTTCAATGCACAAGTAACGATATGGCACCAAATTTGCTGCGTAGTTGGAGGACCATGAGCACAAAAAAAGTATGAAGAATTATGAGAAACTTACGTGAATTTAAGAAATGGCAAGTGTTTTTCGAAATTAGGTAGCCCCCGCGCCACCTGGGAGCCACCTGGGGTGGCTCCCTGCTTCCCTTCACATAATTTCCCGGATTTCTTTACATAAATGTGGACTAGGTCGAGAGTATTACTACATGTTCAAATCCGCTTCCAAAACTACCAAGGCACCGCTTCGATACAGCCCCAAATAGGGTTCACAGCGTTATGATCGGCCTCGGAAAGCGCGCTCCAATCGCAATCGGTTATTGTAAATTGTAAAGTTTCGCAGCTGACTAATAAATGAGTAGTATCTTAGATATATAAACGTCAAAGTTTGTGCAAATCTTGACCCTATGTTTTTTTTATAGATTCCTTTGCGGATGAACCCATTGAGCTGAAACCTTGATGAGCCGCGCTGGACCAAGAAGGCCAGGTAGTACTATTATAATAAGCGCTGAGGCCGTCCATCTTATTATTTGAGTATATCTGTTTGTCAGGGACTTACGGGGGTCAAAAATAGGGTCAAAGGGAAAGTCGTAAGAAATTCTGGCTTCAAAGGGGATATCGTTTTCAAAATTCTGAAATGTCACCTCCTGCCGGGCCCTGGTCCAGATGATCTTTCGGAAGTACCCCCCAATTCCACTTAACTTCCTTTTCATTGCCTGAATGTTTATAAAAAATTGCTTGAACTTACATGCAAGCAGTTAAGCATCTCCAATCTTTCAAACTGCATTTTTTTGAATGCCGAGGACTTCCAATAGCGATGTCGTTTCACTTCACTTAGGAGGGCTTCACGAACTTCATATTCGCCGATTGGTATGATGTCGTCGAAGTAGCGGTTCGATGCTGAGCCATCTGAAGAAGATGTTTGTATGACATGAGATGACAAAAAGAAGGATATTTGTTGAATGGACCTTGCTAAAAAGTTGGAAGGAGAAAAAGGTGAAAAGCTCAGATTATAATATAGCAGTAATCTTACCCAAAATCTTTGTCTTAAATATCATTTCAATCAAGAAAATTTATGAGAGATTTCTAAGTGAATAGGAAACAAAATCTATTTTGATTCCAGCCTCTTCCAAAGTGCAAAATTGGGCAGGATGTCCTAAACATCCCAATTTTTTGGCAATCTGCGTCAAAATTTTATTAGAGAACGACAATTCGTAAGAGTTCGTAAGTACTTGCTTAACAATGATTGGACGGTTTTGAATTGCATAAAATCTTTTGCTTTTTCATATTTATGCAGATTATTTTGTTGAAGCAAGAATAATAAAATATTGAGATAATTTTATAATTTACTTTTACTTTGGGCAGATAAGTTTTTGTCATTATTGATGTTTTTTGAAAAACTGTGTATCTTTTTTCTTTTTTTTTCTTGAAGTTCGGTTCTATCAGAAAGTCGGAAAGTGTGAAACAGGGAGAATCGAACGGTATAACATGAAATAGTTGGAACAAACAGATTTTCAAAGAATCTCAAAAAAATGCACTTTCAAGATTTTTTCTACTTTTTAGCTACAGTGTATTTTTTAGGACTTGGAGGTATATAACGGTATGGAAACCTTACATTCATCATTTAAAACCGCACTGATATATTTGTCCGGAGGTGGTTCCGGCGTAATCGCCCTGTATCTGTTCAGCATTATCGCAGTATTCTGGGAAAATAAGATTCGCACAGGCTCCTGACGAGAAGATTGCAACTGCTAGGCAGAGAGAAGAGCAAAGAAAATAATTGATTCGAAAACCCTAGAAGAATTGCCAGCGAGAGATGGAGAAGTGTCTGTGAAAATTGCCGGATAGACAACTGAGCAGTAGAGGCATTTGCAGAGAAGAGGAATAACTGCAATTTCGTTGCCCTCCCAACAGTCCCTCGAGAATATTTCGAAGCCAAGCAGCAGTTTTGATACATTAGCATAGACTATACTAAGACTCCAAGCAAAAATAGCCTTGTTTTTCGAGCCGAAAGCCGAAATTCGGGGTTCATAAACAGCGAATAAATTCGGATTAATCTGTCTGATAGCACGAGCTGTAATGAATAGTGATGCAGCTTTTTATGGGAATGGACCGAGGAAGGAGAAGGGGGAAAAGATTGCAAAATTCTTGAAAGCGGTTTACTGTGGTAAAAATCGTGCAAGAAACAAAATTGTATTCGCAAATAATCGAGTCCAGTGCTCGACACAGGTGGCTTGTAAGCAAGCTGGGTTCCGTTTTTGGGGCAAAAAGCAAAGGGAATATCGTTTTTGTAGTGAAAAGACACAAAAATTGCGACGCTTCGTTTGAGGGTTTCTTACGTATAGGGTTCAGGGTCAAAGGGAACTTTGTGAAATTTTGCAAAAGTTAAGGGGAACTTCGTTTTTCATGTTTTCGGAAAGCCACCTCGTGACGAGCCCTGATCAAATCTCTTACCAAATTTATAAGGACCTGCAGCTTTACAAAAAAAATTCTTTTCTGGGATTTTATATTCACAAAATGAGAAAGATTTTAGAAATTTAGAGCCCCTCATTTCGAGAAATATCTGTCGGATTTCCCCTCTCTCTCCCCCTCAAAGCAGCGGCTCGGCAGAATGACAACTCTGGGATATTCATCGTTCTGGGTTTCCCTGGATGAGCTAAATCTAAGACTATGCTTTGCAGCTTTAAAAGATATCAATAACCCGCTTTTCCGGAAGTAAAAAAGTGCTATTTGGGCGGACGGCGTATGCCTGCCCTTGAGCTTGGCTCTTGGGTACGGTAGGTACAGTGTCTCCACTCACAAGCCAATCGCGCTTTAGAGAACATGATACGCGATCCGCCCAAACAACACTTTTCACGTCTGGAAAAGTGGGTTTTTGATATCTTTTGAAGCTGCAAAGCACAGTGTTGGGCTGAACTCGTCCAGGGGAAGCCAAAACGATGAATAACCCAAAGTTGTCATTCTGTCGAGCCGCTGCCTTCAAGATGTTTTAAGGATCAATGCCATGTGAGAATACATCTTCGGCAGTGAAACTGAGAGAATATCAGTCTCAATAGGACAAAATTGAAAAAACTACTGAATCGCAGAAAAATGTAAAAATAAAGTTGACCCTAAAGATGTGACAAAGAATTTTCCACATTTTTTCAATTATTGGTGAAAGTTGTCAGGTCATGGGAGATAGGGGACCCAAAAAGAAGCATAGAGTATTTCAAAATGCGTGCAGTATCTTTGAAACAAGCAAGGAACATAGCGAAGGATTAAGATTGACCGAAAAATAATGGCTTGAGTCTTACCAGTGGTTTCTCAAACAGTTTTTGAGGGGAGGAGTTGTTTACTTTTGGCAAAACTTTTGTTTACTTTGCTTGAGGTACATAACACTATGTCAACTTTAAGCTGCGGATATCTTGTTAATCATTATATCGTACAACTTATGGATTCTTAAAAGGTTGAATTTTCCAAATTTTTTTCGTACTGGAAGTACCAACAATATTAAATGAAAAGCTGCAATGTTTTAGTCCTATCAAATACAAAAAATGTCAGAAAGTAAGATTAGAAAAATAAAAGAAATTTTCCGTAAGATTCGTGTAATTAAGAAAAGGGCTACCATGCCATAAGAAAAATCTTCAGAAATTCATCACAATTCAAGGATTCCAATTTCGATGAAATTGCAGTTTTTGGAAAGCGAAGTCGAAAAAGAAGATTCGAATCATGCCCAATCCTCCCCAAAATACTTTTATTGCTGTGCTCAAGCCTAGAAAATCGGATTTGTACAAATCTCATTACCAGAGAGACTGAAGGGCCTATGAAGGTCAGGAACAGCTGCACTTGTTTTGGGAGTCGTCTTCGTCATCTCGGTGACAAAAAGTATAAAGAGATTGGGCGTAAGATTTTGTGGAATTGGGGCTTTGACTTCACCCTAGGGTGTTAAGCAGAGGGCCGTTAGAGAATTGTCTCTTTTTAGCGGTTCAAGTCAAATATTCTTTCAAGAGCAACGATGCATTCCACATGGAAAAGATCAAAGAGCAATTCCTGCGGAGTGTCTAGACTTTTTTTACGTCAGAATTTGAACCAGGAAATTATAGGGAAAAATTCAATTCTGCTAATGGCTTTTCAGTGGTATAGGATCAAAAAATTATGTAGGTGTTGGTAAAGCAGTGCAATTGCACAATTTTTCCCCTCAACATATACTGGATGTTAGGGATCTGTAAACAATGCGTGCACATGAAGGAACAAAGATTCTAGTCGATCTGTCTGGATTAGGTGACGATAGGAGGGGGGGGGGGGAGGTGGAAGTGTAAATATTTGTGCTCCAATTCATCGAACTTCATCTATCAAGAATATATTTTTCAACAAAAAAATGGAGAAAATAAATAAAAATGACGTTGAAGGAGAGGAAAGAAAGGGACCAATTACCCCAAAACCACAAAAACTTCTCAATTAATGATAAAGTGAGAGTTTGAGCAACAGAACTCATGATCCTGGGCTGGTACCTGGGGCGCCTGGGATCAGCTCTCGTGAAAAATGATGCTCGTTTCATTGGAAGCAGGTGCTCGACATATGCGATCAGAGAAAGAAGAACACAACGAAAACATCACAAAATAAAGCTTGAGGGCTTTACTAAATGTTCGCTTCTTGTTCTTTGAGAAAATAATGATGATTGAAGCTGCAAAAAAATGCGAAAATTGCCACGAACACGATGCATTAACATGCAAGGTTATCTTAATAGTTTTTTTTTGCAAATTCCAATTAACCTTTTTGTTACCTTCGAATGACTTAGGACAACGAATGTACTCTATGCTAGCAAATTTGCATAAAATTTAGTTGCATTGCAATTTGCATTCAATCAAATAACCCTATGTAGAGGCATTTTCATAAATGAAAGATCTTTTAAGTTTGATAGAGATTTTCAAAATTATTGTACGAAAGCCGACAAAAATTTTGTGACTAGACCTTGAAATATTACAAAATATAATCATTCTAAATCTCAGTATTCAGAAACCGTCTCCACAAGAAAATTTCGCACGAGAAGTCTAATCAGTAAATAAAATTTGAGGATAGATTATCTGACTGTTGAGGAGATTCAAACGTTTCGAAAATTTCTAAACGGCTTTTCAGGACAAACAGTTACTGCGATAAGATGTCACAACATAAGCACATTTATCAAAAAAAACTACCGCAATTATTTATTCATATGAAATGATAAATTCACATGAAGTCGTCTAAATGTATCGATAACATCTTCAAGTAGAAGAAAATTTTAAAAATCTAACTGCACTGCAAACAGTCTCAATGGAAATTTTTGCAAAATTCGAAATTTTGAAGCGAAAGAGTTTTTTGCTCCGCTAGGTGTGCATGGATGACTAACGCTAGCCCAATAAAATCCTTTCAATATAATAATGTTCAAATTCTAAAAGTCCATTTATTTGCTTATTTAAGCGTTTAGCTTTATATTTTTTATGATGCACCAAATTTAGAATCAAAAGAAACGATAGTCAGATGACATTAGCAAAGCACTTAGTAAATCCTGGAAGAAAGCCATGTAGCCAGGTTCTTTGCTTTTTTTACTTTACGGGATATGTACCTACCCTCCACCAGATATTGAGAAAAAAAATGGTCTCAGTGGAATGGCAAACAAACTCTCTCGTCGAAAGGGCAACTCGTCCAGAAACATACAAATGAAGTGAGCGCCATTGTAAGAATTTCAAAGCTAAGCTGTCTAGAAGTTGAAACGAATTACAGCTGATCACGCACAAGTTGTAATGAGTCTTACCCCTCCCCCCCCCCCCGTTTCTCTGGCTAACGGGTGATGTAACGTGGTGTTCGAGATTTTGATTGATACGCAGGTGATGCAACGCACTTTCGCTAAGCCCTAGAGTCAACTGCTTCTTGTCGATCGGCGAATACGAAAAGTTTGTGAATGAGTTGGAATGGCTTTTGGGGAGAGAACTCGTCCGGAAAAACAATTTTAATTGTAACAGCTGAGCATCGCTTTTGGGTAAAGTAATTTCTTCAAAACGAAAAATAGCCCTAGAAGGGATCAGGGGACATGGATGATGTGGCCATGGGTCTGACCTCAACCGAATTTTGCAGGTCTGGTCTTATGAGGCCATTGAAGTCTGTCCAAAACCTATTATTAAAACCCCTCTTTCACAATCAACGCTTGAAAGACCCTCAAATCATTTACTGCACCTTTAAATGTTAACAATATCATGAGACTGAAAACTATAGATACAGAAACATTCAAATATGCTATTCATATGAGAAATTTATGATAGATTGATACATAAATCTTGCACCAAAATTGTAGAAAAATCGTAACTATTCGTTCTTTCTTTGTGTATAATTCGATGCAGGTTGAAAAAAGAAAATCATGCGCTTCTAATAGTGTTCGGAACAATTCTTTTTTTCATACCACTGTCATACAAGCTGATCAAGAGAAACACTCAAACAGTAATTTTTAGTTTCTGATTTTTATTCTCAATAAAGGAACTAGAAAGCAAAGATAACCCAATTTTATGTTTAGGTATGGCTTTACGACGTGTTCTTTTGAATTGTAAAAAATTCATAGTGACGGATGCTAATAAAATTCTGATTGTCGACTTTTCGACTCGACAATTCAATTTCAGATAAAATTTTTGTATACAAGTCTAGATAGAGTACCTAGGTTCAAAAAAATATTAGGTTGAACCGAAAGTTCTGTCGCACCATTTTCAAAAAATCGTAACTTCTTTCGGTCACGACGATTTTGCGTGATTCAAATTTTGTCTGAAAGCGCAAAGCATGTGGTTTCCAAAAGCTCTCTCGTGCTTTTCCGACATGCTCAGGTGGCAGAGATAAAAATGAAAGAACGAGATCATCCGAAATTCGAAATTTTTAAGCAAGAATTCTAGAATTTCAGAAACAGTGCGATAAAATCCAGAACAGCCATCATCCTAAGTTTTCTTATATTTGATTACTATCTGAGTCAAGTTTGTGCTGATCGAGCCCTTCTTTCAAAAGTTATGATTTTTTGAAAAATAATGCCGAAAAATCAGTTTTCTAAGAATTCTTAAGAAATGGATTTTTTGGGTATTTTTTTCAGAAATTCATAACTTCTGAAAAAAAACCTCGATCAGCACAAACTTGACTCAGTTAGTAATCAAATGTAAGAAAAATTAGGATAATGGCTTTTCTGGATTTTATCGCACAGTTTCTGAATTTTTAGAATTCTTGCTTAAAAATTCCGAATTTCGAATGATCTCGTTCTTTCATTTTTATCTCTGCCACCTGAGCATGTCGGAAACTCCCCAGAGAACTCTTGGAAAATACACGCTTTACGCTTTCAGACAAAATTTGATTCGCGCGAAATCGTCGTGACCGAAAGAAGTTACGATTTTTTGAAAATAATGCGACAGAACTTTCGGTTCAACCTAATATAATACAAAAATTGGAATATTGTTTCAAATCTTTTAGATGAATTTTCAGCATTTTTTGGTGCAAGACTTATGGATCAACCTAAGAACTAAACTAAACTCTAATGACTGCAAGAAGGACATCAGTTATGCCTCTGACCAGCAGTTTTGACGGAAAAATTGACGTTCTTCAAATGTGTAGGAATATCAGATTATATGTTCCCACTACTAAAGGAAGAAAATTTGAAAAGATAGGAAAAGAGTAAAAGTGTCTCAATTTAAAGACTTTTTTGAAGAGGGAAGGAGGAAATGTCCTATATTTTGGCCAATTTTGGGTGTGAGATTCTGTTCGGAACCAAAAGATCATGTTCAGCTTATTTTTTGCCATACCGCCTCTGAATAAATAACTTAACGTTTATCTACCCTATACACACTCGATTACAGGAAAAGAAAAGAAAAGAAAAGGAATAAGTACTTCGAGCTACAAGTGACTCTATACCCCTTATGATACATAAAAAATAGTGATTTAAGAATGTCAAAGGCAACAGAAAATTTCGATCCCCCCGCTCACCCCACTCCCTCCCCCACTCCTTCCGTTTCCGTACAGCATGACAAAGTATGACGAAAAGCAAAAAGCGTGAGCTATCCGCTTTCACTTACCCTACCTCCCCCCCCCCCCCCCCCGTGTACAAACAGACAGCGACACCGAAGCACCAGTATCATGTGAGGCAATAAGACACAGCTACTACCGGGCCAGAGCATGAGGAGTGTCGAATCTCTCGCAATCTCGAAGAAAAAAACGTCATTTGTTTGACGCAGCTGTTTTTTTTTCTTTTTTACGGGGAAGGAGGAGATTAAATGAGATGGCTAGACTTTTTTTTCAATCTCACCAGTTAAATTGTAAAGATTTTTCTGGAAAAAGAAGACGTAGAATGGGGTTTTCAGGTCAAGAATTTTGTTAGGTAATTTATGGCAAAATATTCATAAAAATTGAAGTTATTTTAAGCCTTTGATAACCGGATAAGACGGCCATGAATATTTGCCAAAAATCACCGAAAATAAAATTAATTTCAGAAATACAAGCTAACAATAAGATGATTCAAGATTATAGAAGAACTCTGGCCAATTCTTTCTGAAACTTTTTTTCAGAAAATTTTCAAAGTTGTTGAGATAGAGAAAGCCTTCTAAAAATGAGTTGCTATAATAAAATTTCTGGAGGTAAACTCATTCAGAAGTTAACTGAGGAGCATAAGAAACTGAGCCAAAACTTTTGCTAGGAATTTTTGACAGATTATCACAGAAGATTTATGATTTATATCAATATGAAACTAAAATGAAATCTGGAAAATCAGTTGCTTCAGGGAAACGTTAAAAGTGGTATTCTTTCGCCCACGTTTGCGCTTTTATTCCCTCGTGAGTGGCCGGATATGGTAAAAAACGAACAATTTGGAAAAGCTATAAAGTACAAACGCTGCATTTTTGTGGAAAATTTGCAAAGATTTGCTAAGCTAGGATTGAGCTCGATGTCTGTTATGTAGTTGTCTCTCTAGAGTGAGTTCAGATAGGCGCGTTGAAAATATTGGGAAACAAAATTTGTTTACACCGATTGGAAGAGGTGATTTCGACATAATAGCAAGCCCATCACATGCATGAGCTTTTGTTTTGTTTGAGCTTGGCGAAAATTTCGAAAAAAATTGAAGGCGGATGTATTTTGTACTTGCAAAAGGTAGAATTCAAATGTAGGAACACCTCAAATATTTTTCAAGGTTGGATAAATTTCAAAATCCGATTCTGTTGTGCCATTACAAACCCATACCGAAAGTAATAGTAGAACTGAGCTAAGATAAAGTATTGAAAATTCCTTCAATTTTGCAATAATTTTTTATCTTTCGAGTTGTGGTCCCAGTAATTTTCCAAAATAGGATTGACAAGATTTAGTATAATTTTCAATAAAAATTAATTTTCAATAAAAATTAAAGACGTGACAGGCAGACATGAGAAATAGCCCGCAAACCGAATATGAGTAAATTTACCTTTAGGAGGAGGCTATGCTCTTCAAAATGTCATAGCAGGGGAAAACACCTGCTCAAAAAGTTGAATAAACCATTATTTTGCTAGAGTAGGGACCCACCAAACAAGAGAGTGGAGGAAAAAACAAATTTTGAAGAAAACGACAAAAAAGAAAAATGCTCGAAAGATTTTGCGAGCGATTTCGTGCAGCAGAATAAATCATGCAGCAAAATCCCGAAACTCGTTCAAGCAAATGGTATATATCAAGAAAAGAAAAATATAATTCCATCTCTATAGCAACCTTATGGAGAAGTTAAGGTCAAAACTCAAGACAGAGGGAAATTTTTTGAAAAGGGGGACGAAGAACCAAAAAGTGAGAACTTACTTGTAAAATTTCGATGTTTCTCCACGTCGTTTGATGGCGGAGGAATTGCGCTATAGGTGTCCGACATCGTGAATTTTGAGTTTTTCGTAATTTCTAAAAAAAATTAATAAATTTAATGTCAAATTGCAGCAAGGAATAAACTCTCCGAGAAAGTAGAATATTATTGCTATGTCACGCGGAAGACAAGCTTGTTTATGAGCGGGAGGTTTGTGTTTCGTAAAAAAAAGGAAAAATGTCATTCTATACTTGAGAAACTTGATACATTGTTTGCTAACCCTCGTCGATATTTCCGCTAACATTCACTTTTTTCACCCTTTCGTTCATGTTCTCTTTATTGGTCAATTGATTGATTTCTCCAATTTACAAGCTCAAATTTGTGCCACCATAGAAGGCACTAATCAATCCCTACAAAATACATTTTACTTGATCCAAAAAGACTTCTTTTCAAGAATTTGAGAATTAAAAAAATTAGACCGGTATTTTCAAGGAAGGCAAAAATGAAATCTTTACACCTTCATAATTTGCTCTATAGCTTAATGAAGTCAAAGCCTTTTTAGGCCCCTCCAAGCTGAGGCTGTAGAGCACGACTTGCACTATCAAATAGGTCTAGTTGCATTTGCAGAATCTTTTCCTTCACGAAGTGAAAAAATGTGTTTGCAAAAAATACCTGCGTACGAGCAATGTCCTTATGTTCAAAATCGATTATTAGGTCCCAGAAATGCAAAACCTTTCAGGTAAAGAACAGTTTCCCATGTGTGAGACAAGTAGAAGAGCATCTAGAGAGAAGCGACTAGCTGAGATAGTTTTGAATCTGATTTAGAAGACATTTTCTGATCCTAAGCCGCACTCAGGAAGGTCAAAATTACGCCAATTTTCGTAATGCCGCCTCTCAACCATGTTTTTAAATAATCAAAAATTCTCTTCGGATTGATTTTCAAATTTCCATGCTTAGCCGTATTAGAGCTAAAGGCTTGCTCTATTTTTGTGCGCAATTACAAAGCAAAAGGAAATGTTGTTAAAAAGATGCTACGTAATTTCTCGAAGTCATGCTTGCGTACAAAGCGCACTTCGGTCGGCGAGAGGAGTTGGGGTTTTTTCGAGGAATAAAGCAGCCAAATTCTAGATTGATTATGTCATTACGATGATGATGGTCGATGAAAACAAACGCATACTCGATCCGTCTTCAAGCCCGTCTAGTATCCTTCTGGCACCCAAGGAAACACGCGCCGGTAATTTTGGCACCTATAGTTTCGACAACCTTTATCGCAATGTCAATTACTATTATAAGCAAAAGTTTCAATAAACTCTAAAAATCTAAATACCTGAAATGGGAAAACGATAAAGAGAAATGAGGACGATGTTTCGGCAACCTGAGTACCTGGAAATCCAGCATGGATGGTTTGAAAGGCCAGAGGTCATACCCCAAGCGCGTTACCGTACTCAAGGACTCTGTTTGGTTCGCTTAAAAGTACGGTAGTGGGCGAGAGTTCAAAGTCGAACTTTACGGCAATGGATGAAGTACATAAGCTCTTGTTAGGGTAATGGCTGACCAAAGCCTGTTTTATTTGATAGTGGGAAAAATTTAAGAGATACACAGTTTTAAATGGTTACTTCAATGAGGGAGCAGTGCATGAAATTTATAAGCGCTATTTCTGACGAAGAAGAAGCTTTACTGTTATCTGACAGCAATTGTTCGAAGGTGTTTGCTCGTCGTATTCGCTGTGGTGCAATTACACGCTCACGTATTTTTCTTCTTTTAGGATAGGATGAAGTCTAATGATCAAATAACTAATGGTAGAGCCAATTTTTTGCCTTATTCAATGGAATTATCGATTAGTGTGAGAAACATGAAAATTGAGGAAAAGAAGAAAAAATTGGTCTAACTGTCTTCTTTACTAAAAAGCTAGCATGCAAACAAAGCAAAAAAAGATTTGTAGTTCCAGGCCTAATTTTAGCCAATGCTCAAGTTTATCGGAAGAATAAATAAATCTCGTGAGGGCAATGATTGATCACAGATGTCAGCTGAGATGTGTGTAGTAATGACATTCACACTAGTACAGCTGATTTGTCCTCAGCTTTACAACCCTCGAACAGCTTCCGGGAGTACAAGCCCCATCCTCCCCCCCCCCCCCCCGCCATCTGTCATAAATTCCCGGAGTGTTGATCCGGTGTTCGACGATAGATGGCCAGAGCAAGAAGCGAAAAACACATTGGCAAATAGAGCGAGCTCCAAACAGCGGAAGCGAGGGTGTTGGCGCAATGAGCAGTCGGAGAATTGTTTATGCGATCTAGTTCCGTTCTTTGTCTTTTACGACACAACTACTCATGTGAGTTGTGATTGCTATGAATATGTAGTGCGAGTAAATATAGGTTCTCGGAGGGCGAGGGGGGGGGGGAGGGAGGAAGGAACTGGAGCTGAAATGACTACAATAAAGTAAAATCAGAGTTCGCTGCAAACATTTAGAAGAAAAGGACCGGTTTTCTTGAGTGAGTGAATGAATTAGGCACTGTAATTGTTAACATTAACCTAATTTCTATAATTGACTAGTTGTTCTTGTTGACTAATAGTTAGCTTTGCTTCCTTTTTTTAAACTGTATTTCACTGCACATTCACAAAAGATGAACGTAAATATTGTTGATTCGAGATTGTCGCGACATCCCGCGCGATCGCACGACATTTCGTGGATTCCGCAAAATCACGCGATTCACGCCAACTACGGAGGGCCATGACTCGGAATGAATATATTCTAAATCTGGGAAAAGCATCGTGCTCAATCATCAAAATAACTCATTATAAACAAAATAGAAAGAAAACCTTTAACGGTCACCAGCAGCAGAAGCTTTTTGTTATTTATTCATTTATTCATTCAACTGATATAGTGCGATAAGTGCGCCCTAAAATATTTTGAATAAGCTGGAAACAAGCTGAGCCATGGTAAGATAAATGAAATAAATTTGATTAGCACAAAACAACTAATAATTAGGGACTAAAAGGTTTTACATCTTTGAGTTTAGTATTGCACCGCCAATGGAAATTTTGCCTTAACTTAATTTTGAGGTTTCCATGAAGAGCAGTAGGATTTGTTTCGTATTTTAGAAATGGGGGGCTCTATCGCAAACTGTTTTCTAGCAGATCATTTAAGTAAAGCCACTGTCGCGCTTTCTTTAAAGAATACTCTAATTGCTACTGACATCTAGATGGAAATACTTGACTTTTTCTTAAGTTTTTGTACTCATCATATGCATGTTCTTTACAGTCAGATACTATTACAGTTCCTCATCCGCAAGAAGGATTTCATCAATTTTCCTACTGATAATGATTCAGGGCCCCGGAAAAGAAGTTTCCGGTCAAATGACGAGAAAGCCAAGACAAAGCGTTTTGAAGCTTGAAAAAAGTCAGGGAATAGTTATTAGCTCGTTATTGTGGTGAAAAATAACACTGTTAATGACATTCAGTGATACTAGAGTGGGATCAAATTACCAGTAGTTACCCATCAGCGGTTCATGCAAAAAATGAGTATATATCAGAATGTTCGAAGCCATGTTCAGAGGCTGCTTACGTCGAAAGCACCACAGATTACAAATTCAATTTCTTTCCAGAAAAACTTTCCAGATTTGCAGCCGCAGTTTGCAAATGCGCAAATGAAAATCTCGTAACTCAATCAAGCTTCTCATTTGAACAAAGTGCACTAGAAAAGGCTAAAAAAAGATGGGATTCACGATAGGCCAGATGGAGATTTATTGCCTACAGTAATTCTACACATAATAACTCATCCGTGGGCATTTTGTGCAATTTAAGCGACAGAAAAAACTTTTATATGGATTGCAAAGAGCAACTAATATGCTACGTAAACGTGAAACTGCAAGATCTCAGTCCTGATTGCACTCTAATGAAAGCTTTTATGGCCTTCTAGATCCCTCTAATGATGGGAGAAATGCTAGGGCTCTAATGTGCATGTGCAAAAAGGACACAGGAGCAAAGGAAGGACAATGGGAATAGGGAAGAAATGGACCGCTAATCCCATAATCCATCTCTTTACTCGACCCATTCCCCCCATATATAGTTGAGAATTTATGAGTTGCCTTCAAGAAGCGTTTAGCCCTCTTTAAGTAGGGATTTTTTGTTCCCTGACCTAGCTTTAACAGTATTTCTACCGTACCCTGGTTACGGTTATCAATGGAGCGCGGAAACTTACGCCAGTACGACGGTAAACGTGGAATAAAATGGATGTTTGTGTCATCTTTTAGTCCATTTTCTTCCTAGTCAAGGGCAAAAAGGCATCGGTTACATAAATAGCAGAATAAAATGAGGAAGTTGGTAAGTACACAGCCATTTTGATTTTAAATTTAAAAAATGGAAGATTTCGCGCTCGACTGATAACGAAAACAAAAAAGTCATTAATCATTAAGAGAATTAGGATCAAATAATACAAGAATCATTTGAGGAGAGTGGCCAGTTTATGTGGTCCCCCCCCCCACAACACAACAGACTTCTGCGAGTTCTGGTGAACTCTTTATATGAACTTTGTGAAGAGATGAAATTAGCCAAATAAAGAATCTAACGCCCACGGCACAATCATTAGTCGCATGTGCTACTCCGGAATTCGAAGTGTTGCGTGTAATGACGCCTCATGCGCATTCTGCTCGACTATAGATCATTCCACACCCCTCTCGCTTTGAAAAAGTGTTGGTGACGTAGATCGCATTGGTTTGACACGCGTGCATTGCAGAGGTTCGGGTGGGAAATAGATACAATACCGCAAAAATACAAAAAAAGGACGTAGCTAGGAAACCTCGATAAAATCGATATCAATCAATAACTAAAAGTAGCCTACGACACCCGCCGCCCAGAAATGTATGTGTGCAAAGTTTGGTCCGGACCGGTTTAGAAGTAAAAATTCGTATTCGCATACGTAATCGCTCGTACCCTTTGAACAAAACGACGCACAGTCGCCCGATTCATGTGACATCACCGTAGCATGGCCATATCTCGGTCCAGAGTGGGCGAATTTGGAATACAAGGGCACCATTCGACTCAGCTCGGCCTGGTGCATCTTCTGATACAAGAAAGTGCCTGCTTGGACACAGTAGGAGGGGCCAGATTGCACAAATTGTCCGATTTTTTGCTTACGGTAGGTTGCTCAGTGAGTACAATGAATAAGCACACTGAGTAACTTACAGTAAGCAAAATCTACAGTGATTCGTAGAATCTGGCCTCCTATTGTGTCCAAGCAGACACTTCTATATATCTGAAGATGCGCCGCGCCGAGCTGAGTCGAATAGTGCCCTTGGATCAAGAAAGCGTCCACTCTGAAGCGAAATATGGCCATGCTACGGTGATGTCACATGAGTCGGGCGACTTTGCGTTTTTTTCAAAAAATACGAGCGGTATTGTACACTCAATTGCTTTTTGCACTAACGGAAAGCAAATGGAACTCCTTTCAATATCCTTCATTTTCATTTTGCGAATTATTGTGGCATTTTCAAGCTTTCTGACATCCATTTAGGTTCAAAATTATTTTTGAAGCTTCATTGCAGGGATTTTATCAAGGAAGGAAGGCGAACATAATTTTTTGTGTCATTTTTATTTCATTTTCGTATTTTTACTCGTATTTTCGTGTTTACTTATTCAAATTTTATTGCGATTCTAATTGCTTGATTGAAGACAGCGTTATGCTCCTACAGGGCTAACATTTGCGACAATCACAGCCATTTTATATACAGCCCCTTCTTTTGTTGAAAGTGCCATCAAACAGGAAAATACCCTAGAAGGGATAATGGCTTGAAATGCCTTTATAAGGGCATAATGGCTCAAGACATGTTTGTTCTCAAATGATGAAAGATTACCCATGATATGTATGATATTGGAACAGGACAACTCAGGATTTTGTTGCGAAAATCCCCTGGAAAAACGCCTCCGTTCAAAAGTATGGAATGAAAAATGAGATTTGAGCACTCAACGTAAATCAGGATTGTAACATCTTCTGATAAATGGATTTAGTCTACAAGTACATCTTGCGCAAGATGTTCTCTACCGGAATTCGGTAAACAATGATGTTTACACTTCTGGAGAGCCCAGCCTAATCGAGAATCCTTTTTTTTTCTCAGGGAGGAGGGGGGGGGGGGGGAGGAAAAAGGGTCTATTACAAAAGGCTGCCGTTTATTAGCAGAAAAGTGTGGAGCGGTTTTTGCATTTTAAAGTCACTATCTTATAATTGTGCATGTAATTTGTTCAAATCTCGATTGTTAATATCAAAATAATTCTACAATTCGAAAAAAATTCGTTCAGCCCTAAAATTTTCTTAGGTTCCTTGTAAGCTTGGTCAAAATTTGGCGGGCATCCAAGAAATTCTTTGAAGCGCATAGGTAAGGTGTGCTCATTCTTGTAAATGAAATTTTTGTCCCCCCCCCCCTACCTGCCCTCCTCCACCTTGACATTTTCTCAAATTCATTTTCTCAATTTCATCACTAACGCTTCTACCACTGATGGACGCAGGTCTTTCTAAGAATTCATATTTTGTCAAAGTATTTAAAAAAAACATCGAAGGGCCCAAACGTTCAAGTTTCAAAGCAAAAATTCTGAAAAAATGCGAATTTTTTGGACTGTTGCCAAAATAACAATAGTTTCACCCTTTCTCCCAAAGGTCAGTTCGAACCAATCAAAAATTTTGGCCCAAAGCCAAAGAACAAGGCTATGCTCATCTTTCACAATTTCGACAAGGTCCCTAGGGCGCTATGAAAGAAGCGCGTGAGCACCATTGCGCTGATTCGGACTGAGAAGAAAAATGGCACAACATCAGCTGGTTAGATTGAGTTTTGCTGTTTTTGTCCAGTGAAGGAACACGTGATTCGCTTATTCGCCTACACTAGGGTCCGAGAAAAGTTTATAGTCAAAATATGTCTGGGATGTGACGAAAACAGAGCAGAAGCCTTGATTAGACGACACAATATAATCATGAGGTTTCTTTGTATCTATTATAAAACTGATGAAGCTTCTCTGGAAACCTGCTTATGAGTGAAAAGCACACTGATGATGAAAAAAAATAAATGTAGCTGTTCCTATTAAATGCATTTTTTTCAAGCGAGGTTATCTAAAATAGTATTATTCGCTTCATCACATGAGGTTTTTATTTGGCTCTTTGAAGTAATGAAAATTATAAAATTAGGACGAGAACGTATGATTTGTACTTAAAGTAAAAGCATATATGACAGACCGATTCAAATTTGTCGAGTCTCAAAATGGTTGATATGCTGAATTCTTTTACTTCAAATTAACTAACATAGTCATATGCTTTTGCGCCTAACTTTTGCTGTAATCCAATTGAATCTTTGTTTTTGGGCTTCTTGATTTTAGAGTAGAATTTTTTCGCGCTCATTCCAAAGGTTTTTGTCCTTGAAAAAGGGAATCTGAAGAAAAAGCTCATCAATCTTAAAATGCTAATGGGAGTCCTAAACTACCAGCTGTTAGTTGCAAACCGGAGCTTTTCTTTATGTTGAATTTTTTATCGGTTAGTGTATTTTTTATTTACAGATTTCAATTGGGTTCGAGGTCTTCTTTTCTGCCTCATCGTCTATGTTTACAAAATGTTGGCAATATGATAGTGAAGATAAAATCCACGATTATTCCCCTCATAGTCATTCCTTCTAGCGCATTTTGAAAATGTGAATATTAATTATGATGCTTACAAAAAGGAGGCGGATATTTGAAATCCGTTTTTGAACTCACATGCTTGCCTCTTCACTTCTGGCGATTCGTGGATCGTTGTGTTTGATTTCCAGTTGAATACCCTGCAATTTGAAATAAATAATCAAGTGACACAGATAAAAATCACGATGTATCTCGCATTACGTAGGAAAAAGATAAGTTTCCCGATGCCAAAAAGTAGAAGTTTCTAGAAGCTACATATTCAAGGGCAGACGAATAGCTCTAGAAAAAAAAACCGATGAGAGGAGGCTAATCTGTCGGGCGACAACAAATTCTGAGCTTAAGAGGATTAAGAAAACTAATTTGCAAGCGAAAGAGGATGGAAACGTCTGATTCGAGACATGCACTTTAGGTGCATCTTCTTGACGTCGATTAGGGTGAAAGAAGTTTGTTAGAAGGAAATCATGTGATGGACCATCACACATAGACTTTTTGGGGTTTCATAAGTGCAGGAATTTGTTAAAATTTTGGGAGATTTCACTTTTCATAAAGTGATGTTCTCAGATTTGTAAGGGGGAATGTAGGATTGCTTTCAGAGTGAATGTCTTCAAATGAATGTGTTTATAAAAGTTCCGTCCGTTTTGCATTTTTTTTTGAGTGAGAAATCAGTTTAAATTTTTTTAACGTCAAAATTTCCAATGCTGTCAATTTCAAACATTCTTGACAAAAAATTGAACAAAACTGTTACACCAGCCTATGCTGGCAACGAAAATTTAAGAAATAGCCTGTATTTTATCAAATCATGTTTATAAAATTTTAGTTATTGAAAGGTCGAATATTTGGTCTTAATTATGTTTTTACCAACTCATTCTAGCTAGAGCGTCTGTTTTGATAATTCTAGCATATTTTTATTATTTCTAGTTTTTCATTTTACGTTATTCATTGAAAAATCTTCAATATGGGTAATGTTACAAAAAGCATAAAATGTAAAGTCAAAGGTCACAATTTAAAAAACTTTTTTCACACATTCTAAAAAACTTGTGGATCATTCAATGCTTTCTACTTTCACAATAAAATCAAGAAAAAGGAAAACTACCAGAGTAAACTAGCTGTTAGCTTCCCCCGGTCAAAAATTAAAAAGACAACGAAAGTTTGGTGGCCTTTAGCCGGCTAAAGTGACAATTTATCGAGCCTTGGCTTTGCGGAAAAGTGTTTGGCCGGCGAAAGAATTGGTTAATCAAAACGCGACACGAGAAATGTCTCCCATGGGATGGGTATTGGCCGCGAAATTGGCTAAGAGGACGAACTGAATAGTCTGAATTTGTTAAATCCCAAAATTTAGATGATTGATTCCAGAACAAATTTTGGAGAGGGATTTTGCATTCATCCCCAGACGAGTTTTCTTTGCGGTGCTTCTAGAAGCATTCTGGAATGCTTCGAGTTTTCTTTAGCTCCTGAAAAATCTCTGCATAAGCCATGCTTTTACATCCACTTCACTGCATTCGCATAGCTTATGCATGTAAGAACTTCCCGCACAAATCTTCTTACGACTTCAAAAGTGCTTTTGGATGAATAATTTACGAAAACTGTTCCAATCTTACTGCTCAAAGTGCACGTTTGTCGCCAGAAATAGTAAAACTATTACTTATTCCAAAGTCAGAGGAACTCACCAAAACAAGAAGTGCCATAAAAAGAATCCAAACTTTGAAGCGCACAGCTTATAGGCCATACTACCGACTCAAAATGTTTGTAAAGAAGCTCTCAAAGGTCAGAAAGCGGAAATGGTGGGCAAATTTCAGATTTCTTTTGATTCAACGAAGCTTCTAGAGTAATGATAACATAATTTTGATCATTAATCAATAAAAAATCATAAAAAATCATGATTTCTGGTGGGGAAAATAGAGATTCACTGAGATTCAAAACGGTCAAGGTTTACCAGTCTACTGAAAGGCAACTAATCCCTGGTTGGACTGGTCTCATCAAGATGTTAATGACTACCTTGATCAGCTTAAGCGATCCTAAGAAAAACTTCCATATTGCTCCTAATCCCACTTGGATTCCGGAGAAAAACTTCCATATTGCTCCTAATCCCACTTGGATTCCGGATATCGCTTAAACCTTGATCTCGACCACTGATGAGACCTCCACATTAGGATAAAGTATTTCTTAGAAGAGCCCCACGTTGCAGAAGTCATGGGCATTTGTGTGACTCAAGATAAACTCCCTTCTCTGAACTTGGTTTTGAAGAACTGCTATGAAAGTTATGTTGGATAGGAGATAGAAGTTTCCAGATACGGCGCAGCAATTAAATTTCGTGCTAATGTGTTTGATCGTAAGAAACACTAGAGTGCACATAGCCAGCCTAAAAAAAACATTAGAAATTTTTTTACGTAGAGTCATACTTCACTGTCACAAATTTCAACCTGTCATAGAAAACACGAAAAATTGTGAAAAATGTCATTCTGCAGGAAGATTTTTTTACTCAGCGATTTCTTCACAAAGACACAGCTCGAAACTTTGCTATTGTTTTCTTACCCACGGAAAAAGTGCAGTAATGATGGCACTTTTATTGAAAAATGATGTTTTTCACATACTTGTTTCTTCTTACATTTATATGCGTGTTCGAAGTCTGCCACTGTAACCTGTGAACTTCTGCCGTGTTAGGAATTTTTACTAATTTTCTTGCGCGTGCTAGCTGCATTCTAGTATTTTTCACGACTAAACTAAACTTAAAATCTAAATTGTTTGGAAAGTTGTTATTTTAGGGCCTGTCAGTCGAAAATTTTGATGAATGAGTTTCCTAAAGCATAAGCTTTCTTCTTTTTTCAGATATAAAACTATGATTTAGATCCAGGGCTTTGAAAGTAATTGAATTTTTCTTGGGTCAAGTAGGAACTTTTGCATCAGCCTATAATTTCTAGGCTAAACACATTTCAATATATTAGGTTGTAACAAAATTAATGCAGGTTTTGAATTCCAACCGCAATAAGTCATACACTTCTCATTTCTAACTAAATCGCAAAGTACCATTCGATAGAGCAAAGCAAGCTCTACAAGAAGGCCATCTTGCTTTAGCAACAACTCTGATCCACCTTGAGTTTCGAGCCAAAAACTAAAAAGATTCAACTGCCCGAAAAATTGAGAAAAATCGTAACTTAGTTCATAAAGAACCTACAAAAATTCTAACTTGCTCACGTAAACACTATTCACATAAGATATCTATATACGCATTTGCCGTATGATTTTCTCTGTTAGAAATCAAGAAAACGGAAATTTTCGTGCGTTTGTCAAAGTGATGCTGTGCCGTTTCCACATACGTAGATGTATACTACAAACCTGTAGAAGTATAAACGTGAATTTCCAGCTCTCTACAAGCTTTAGTTCTCGAAAAATATCGAATGCAGTTTTCGCTAGTCATGTGGTCCAAGCTAAAATTCAAATTTCTCGAGAACTAAAGCTTGTGGAGAGCTGAAAATTTACGTTTGCACTTCTACAGATTTGTAGTATACAATTACTTATGTGGGAACGGCACAGCAACACTTTGGCAAATGCATGAAAATTTCCGTTTTCTTGATTTCTAACAGAGAAAAAAATGCGGCAAAGACGTATATAGATGACTTATGCGAATAGTGTTTACGTGAGCAACTTGAGATTTTTGTAGGTTTTTTATGAACTAAGTTACGATTTTTCTCAATTTTTCGGGCAGTTGAATCTTTTTAGTTTTTGGCTCGAAACTCATGGTGGATCAGAGTTGTTGCTAAAGCAAGATGGCCTTCTTGTAGAGCTTGCTTTGCTCTATCGAATGGTACTTTGCAACCTAGCTAGAAATAAGAAGTTTATGACTTATTGCGGTTGGAATTCAAAACCTGCATTAATTTTGTTACAACCTAATAAAATGTACATATTATCAATACTTGAGATTGTGTTCAGGTTTTACCCTTTCCTGCTTTACTGATGGATTTAAAGAAGGCCTTTAGATTCTTATAAGAACGAAATGGAGCTCAAAAATGTCCAAATCATAGCTTTGATTTCATTATACTACTACAGGGAGAATTAAATAAGTATATACAAGACTAGAATTCAAATAACGGCGTAAAGCTTCTAAAAATAGTGGTTTAGTTTGACAGACGAGAACACAAGAGGACCTCGCGACATAACTAATCCTAGTAGTTCGACTTTCGAGCACAAGGTAATCCCCATCGCTGAGAGCTCTTAATCATTTGCGAAGCATAAAGTCGCCCCTCGGGGTGATTAGTCACGGATGGCAGTTTGAAAAGAGCAACGATGAAATATTCACGAGAGTAAAAAAAGAAGCATTCGGATGCTCAGGGACGGAGGTAGTTTGCTTGGGTGCAGAAGCACTGGAATTTTTCGACAACAAACATTCCAAACAAAACAAAACAATGAATGGAATTTTCTGGCGAGTTGTTTTCCGCCAGAATTTTCCACTTATTCGCCATTCCAAAGCGAAAAGATCGATTATCAAAGGAAGAAAGGTGCACTCTCACAAAGACAAATAGAAAAGCTTTCTGCTCTTTTCCAGAAAAAAATGAGATGGATGCGGGGCTCAGATAGCTTTTAGAGGAAATTTCTCGAAGCCGGCTAATGACTTCATTTGCAAGATATGCCATGAAAGGCTTGCAGAGCTTTTTCCAATTATTCAGAGGAAATTGGAAAACATTTTTTGAGTAGATGAAAAGGAGAACTTGGTGCATGAAAGGGGTTCCATAAAAATTACGCAGGACTTTTGAGCTATTGATAAGAGCTGGAACAAGGAATCTGCCGTATTACTGCAGTAGTTAAAAAGTATAACTCAGGAAATAATATCAAAAAGTAGAATTTCAACTTTTTTGCGTGAACTACTAGTACGACCTAGTTTACAAGAGCTTATTTTCCAAAAATTTCAGAATTTTCGTGAGCTATAGGACATAGAAGACGGGTAAAGCTACTTTACGTAAACATTAATTCAACCAAACCAAGATATGCACAGATATTTACGAAGTTGAATAGTTAGGTAAAAACGATAGTATTCTTCTACCCATGCAACATTTTTAAAATGGTACTTTTTGCGCACAAAATCAATATTTTCCTTTAATTGCGGTAAGTAATGAATCTTGCAGCCTTTTGAATGAAAAAAGAAAGAA